TGTTCTTAATACATAATTTTCACATTATTCTAAACATTTGTGCTAATTTTAGAATTCTAAGTATGCTATTTTCGAGAGTGATCTATTAGTTGATGCTTTAAGTTCTAATTAGAGGAAAACAAATGCATATTTTTGGCCGAAAGAAGAAAAGAGAGAGATGACGTCATAAGATTGTTCAATAGATACGGACGTGGAGGAAAAAGAGTAGTCATTGTCCAATAGGAAACTAAAGCTAATAGAAAAACATATAACCTGACAAGTGATGGAGAAGCTGTCTCCTTCTTTTTCTGCTCTCTTTTGAAACTTCAAAATCAAACAAAACCCCATTACCCACTCCTGACTCTTGACTCTTCCACCTACCGCACGTGATTTCTCCTTTCTTGTCACGTGACGTCATCTGCTATAAACTTATAAATTGTTGTTTTTGAATTGCAGAATTGTCATATGAAACTACAAATAATAAATGTTTTGCTAATGGTTTTGGTTTCACTTCCTTTTTAAGCAAGGCATGAGGTTTTTTTCCTGAACTATTGTTGAGTGATTTATACACATGCTTGGTATTAATAAAAAGTGAAATATTTTGTCAGAGAGTCAGAATGCAATTGTTGGTGAGAAATATTACTTTATAGTATATGCATGAATAGTAAGCATGTCGTATATATCATGCTTCAAGCTTCCATCATGAATACGATCTTACATTCATTCATTTTCGAAAGTGGGGGAACTTCTTGGGATTATCAAAGTTTGTCTTTCGACTTTATCTTTTTTCTTTAAAATCTTTTGCTTTATTGTTCTTGTCGTTCGAACCCCAACGAATAATATTTGTCGGACACATTTTGTTTGTCCCGTTCTGTAGAAATCTTTATTTTATTGCGAGTTTTAATTTTGAAATAAACCCGTTTGTTTTTGCAATTGGGCTACAGGGCTTGGACCCAAAAACCACAGCAGGCCTATTCGCAAAGGCCCAATGCTTAGGCGAGAGGAGAATCGGCGACGATGATTGTTTTGTCCTCAAAGTCTCCGCCGATCGTGACTCATTAATTGAGCGGAACGACGCCGGAGCTCCGGCGGAGGTGATACGCCACGCGCTGTACGGATATTTCTGCCAGAAGAGCGGTCTCCTGATCTATTTAGAGGATTCGCACCTCACTAGAGTCACGACGATCTCGCCGGACGACGAGGCGGTTTACTGGGAGACGACGATCGGAAGCAGCATCGGAGATTACCGCGACGTTGACGGAGTCGCCGTGGCGCATTGCGGTCGCGCAGTGGCGACGGTGTTCCGATTCGGAGAGACGTCGTTGCAGTATAGCAGGACGAGGATGGAGGAGATTTGGAGGATAGACGACGTCGTTTTCGATGTGCCTGGGCTTTCGTTGGACTCCTTTATCCCTCCCGCCGATATATTTGAAGATGACAACGATAACAACAATAATAATTACTGTAATGTAAATTCCCGATAAAATGTGTACTAATTTAATTACCAAAATCAGTTTATTGGCGGGTTAGTTGATGGTATATGTACATTTTTCTGTTGTAAAATCTAAAACTCGATGTTTTGATATTTTGGGATTGTGATAATGACAAATTCTAATGTTAAATTGGGGTTAGAGAAATCAGAAATGTTGGTTTGACTCTTATTTCTTCTGTTGTCAAATTGGTTTTTACCAGTGTTCTAAAAGGCGGTCTAGGCGCTAGGCGGTCATAAACCGTAGCGATTACCTTTCTCGGCGCCTAAATATTTATATATCGTGATTTTATCTAAATTTTTATTTATAATTTAATAAAATTCATTTTATATGCATATTTTTATCTAATATGAATATATTATACTTTTTTAATAAAATTTTAATACTCTTTTATTTTTTTGAGTGAATTTGAACTTAATATATTTAAAATATGTATAATATATAGGTTTATTTTGTAAACTTCAAAAACGCATAGCAATCGCCTAGGCCTCGATTAGGCATTCTAGGTACTAGGCACTGCTTGAAATGGATGCCCAAGTTATTATTATTATATATATCATGAGTGAGACAGATATGGAGCGAGTAATGGCTCACCGCCCGCTTAGCGCCTAGCGCATGAACACTGGTTTTTACTCAAAAAGGAACAAAATAACGTTAGAATGTGACACATAAGTAAAATGAAAATGTGGGTCTATTAACATTCTTAGTGGGCTTATGTTTCTTACTAATGGGCTTAGTGGTCTCACTGATAGTAGTACGATAGTGTCATTTCTGATTTTTTTTTTTGTTTCCTTCGCAATGTAACAAATAAATCATTTGTTTTTTTCCTTATCAAAATAGTATACTTAGGACTAATCAAGAAATCATACCAGAGAAAGAAGTGACAAAAAAGAAGCTTCGGGAATGTAGCTTGTTAAGAGAGCATTTCAACATCGACGGATACCAAAAATAAAGTATAATTTTTTGAAAAATGTAAGATATAAAAAAGAAGAGCAATCTTTTTTGTTGTTGAAAATATTGAACAAGGGACGAAAAAATGGAATCCAAGGTCGAGATTGCAATGAGGTGCCTAGAGATGATTGTATTAAACTTGCATGGAAGAATGTGCTTAGACCATCCATGAGACCGTTAACTTTATTACTTTTATTTATCTAGTACTTATATAAGTATACTTTTGTTTGCTTAGCCACCATAATAATTACCATATGATATGCGTACAAACATTAACTTTATTATCATTATATTATTTTTAATTATGGTACAGAAGTAAAGCTACGATCACATGCACGTTTATGCATGTGAAATGCGGAAAAAGTAACAGAGTGAGATGGATAAATCACATTCAAAATACTGAATAGTTCTATTTATTTAACTCATCGTTGGTGTGATTTTATTGCGACTGAGTATTCATTATGCATCATCGTCATTTCAGATCCAATTTGTATATAATGCATCTTCATGACTTCATATAGTGACATTGATTATTAAACCATTGCTAGTTTACTACTTACATATAGCAAATAAAAAAACTGGGTCAAAGCTTATATATGTAGTACGTTTTCAATAATCAAACAAATTAAATTGATCAAGAACGTGAGATTTACTCTTTTTTTTTTGGGTTCAAATGTGAACGTGAGTTCTACTTGTTTCTTCAAATGGGTAGATGAAGTGTATTAAATTTTTGGTATGACGCGCAAACATGAACTTGTTTAATCTAATTGTATAGATTCATAAATAGAATTTTTATATAAAAAAAAACTAGATTCATAAATAGAAATAAAAAAACAGAGGAAATTAGAGGGAAGTGTGGGGACAGTGATAAAAGGAGAAGAGAAGCTTCCTCGAGAAGTGCACACATGGGAGTGCGTTTATATCTCTATCTATACTTCTCCTTCTTCTCCAATTCTCTTTTTGCCTTTTGTTTTCTCAGTTTTTAGATAGAGAGAAAGAGAGAGAAGAGACTGAGAGAGCTTTCTCTTTTACATGCCAACTTGCGGTGATGACCAGATCTTTATATTTTCTCTCTCTATAACCAACAAAGTTGATCAGTACATATGAGCCGTAATTTAAAATTTGCTGACGACTAATAGGATGCAACGAGCAGACCAAAATCATTCGTTAACTAAGTATAATCTTTTATTAACAAAAAACTTTTTTGTTATTACCACAAAATGCATTGCTATGCAACAACATTTTACCACAAAGTAGACTAATCATGCTCGATTTACAAACACCTTATTTAATCGATATATATATATATATATATATTAACTATTATGTTTTGTATAAATTGTACTAATTAGTGGTCACATGAAGGAAAAAAAAGAAAGAAAAGAATAAAGAACAAAGATAATCTACGGAAGGAAAGATAGATACTCAGTGTCGGTTATTTTCTCTTATGACAAGTTCTTTTATTTCTTTTAAAAAGGATCTTGTTGCTATCAATCTATACACACACACATACAATAAATACTTACTTACATGATCGTATGTGTAGTTGTATACATATAAAATCAAGTGACTATGTACATTTGAATCAAAGTTTACAGCTTTTCTTGCTGTTTGCATGTGGTTTTCCCAAAACCCTAAAAACCTTTTGCTTTGATGGGGATCATCATCATTATAACCCGCTCTGTCCTTCCTTTTGTTATTTACTCATGATTTTTTACCATGAACTTTAATTTTAAGTTTGATTTCAAATTTAGTTTCCCGATGCAGATATCCCATTTTAGCGTAATCATAGATAAGGCATCAAGTACAAACTAACTCGAGATAGAAATAACTAACTCATGAAAAAGCAAAGGGCCCTTCAAAAGCTTTAAAATATCGTACATGCCTTGAAACATGAGCGATCTCTATTCTCTACCCATAAATGTTCATTATTTGTCCTATAAAATGTCACGTTCATGCATGAGACATATATACCGGTTAAGGCATATTATATGTAATACACGTATACATACTGGTTAACATATATAGATAGGTATCTATGATACTTTAGTATATTTACATTTTTGTAGGTTTTTAACTAGATAAGTAGACTGTCAATTGTACATATAAAGGTATGTATATGAAATAAAATTTCGGATTTATTTAAACTCTCAATTTGTTTGGAAAAATAGCAAAAATAAAAATAGAAAGAAGAACTGCAATCAAACATAGATCGACTATCAAAATAGTTAAACATATAATCACTTGGATAATTAAAAAACAAATTATAGTATCACTCGGCCACTCTACTTACTAACAATGTAAAGATCAATTTTCAAACAGTTACGCTGGGTCGTTGATTGGAAGTAAGTAATGAATAAGTACAAAATAGAGCCTAAATATCACAACCAACAACAATAATATATAGTTTCAGTACAAATTAAACACGAGCAAAACTATTCCGATAAACATAACAAACTTTGTATTTTTTGTATTTTTTTTGTTGTCTCATCTCTAAATCCTACGTCAAACTCATAATGAACAAAATATATCTCGTTCTCACGTTCTCATGCATTACATAATTTAAAATTAATTATTGTATCACCCAAATGGTGAGTTTCTTCCTTGTATTAATCCAGCATTGGGATTCATCATAGGACTCAACGGTGATCTTCGAGGCGATGGCCTTTCCAGTAATTTCCCGCCATTATTCCCTTCATCACCCGATAAACCCGATTTCCTCTCGTAGATTTCCGACAAAGAATCCAAATCCGTGGAGACATGTGTAGCCATCTGTATCTGAATCCGATGCTCATCATCGATCGATTGGTTTCCGGTGAGATCGTGATCTTGATCAGACCACATCAAAAGTCCTTTCCTTACATCGTTACCAAAATTTGGGTTCGGTCGCTTCTTTCCCAAGTAAATGTTGGTGTCTGCAGCATTGTTGGCCGTGAAATGGTTCTCTATGTTCGGATGATGGAAGTTATGATGGTCGAGGACTTGGTCGGTGGTGTTTCCATAAATGTTTAGGTCTTGAAATGGCGGGAAACTTAGAGGATGAGGTTGGCCCACTGCTGCGGAAAGACTTGAACTTCCCAAATTACTCTTGTATCCTCCTCCGGCGGCGGCGGCTGCCATGTTCTCACCGGCTAGGGTTTGGCATGCTCTCTCCAATATAGATTGCATGTACTTTCCTTGTGCTTCAATCCTCAGTTGCAAGTGTCTCTGCACCTAAAAATATTAAAATGCAATATATACATCATGGATATAAGTTCATTTTGTAAGAGTTAAATATCATAAAACATCTTCAAATTTATTTACCTCTAGCTGTTCGTGCAACCTTCTCTGCACTTCCATTTGCATCCTGATCAATGAAACCAAAGTTTAATTAGTTGCTATATATACGAAGAAAATTAAAGTAGATAAAATTAACGGGAAGAGAGGAATACTCATTCATGTTGCGACTCATCATGCCCGAAGAAGAAGCTACGTTCCGCTGAATATCCATGGCAGAAGCTACACGGTAAAATAAAAATATTCAGAAAAGGACAGATTCAAAATATACATACGCACATACATAAAATCTAAATACACATATATGTGTAATTTCAAAACCCTAAGTCGATAGAGAAAGGAAGAGTGGTCACCTCTTGCACCTTCCTTTGTGGAGTGATCTCCGTACTCCTTGTGCGGCTGCTTTCCAAGCCTGAATTTCTGCACCCATAGATCCAAATAAATTTTAATAATATAATATTAAGGGAAAAGAATAGTAACAAAAAAAGAAAGAAAAAAAGAGAAACGAAGATTAAAAGCAGGAAGAAAAAAAAAACCCTAATTTATACTTGTGTACATACCTGAAGATGGCTCTTTAGGTGGTAAAGAGTAAGACCCTTCACACCCATAACTCTCATAATCGTCTTTGGAGTCGCTTCTGCAAATTAAAAAACGATCAAAAGCTATTTGGTTAAATCGATAAAGATGAGTAGATATGTGTTTGGTGGTGAGCATACTGTCGGGGCCTCCGAGCTGAGCGACCGCGTCGACAAAACGCTCGTGGAGTTCGACGGTCCAACGCAAACGCGGTTTAGGGTCGGTGGTGAGGACGAGGCCTGAATCGCCTTGAACGCACATAGCTCTGTTCTCATATGAACCATTCATACTTGAAGGTTTCTTAGCATGGAACATTCTCTCTCTTTCTTTCTCTCACTCACTCTCTTTCTCTCTCTAAAGGAGGGATTCAGGGAAACGAATGTGATGCAAAAATGTGAGAGAATACGATGCGTTTTTGAAGAGATCAGATGACGGCTTTTTGCTCTCTCTCTCGTCGTCTTTTTATTTTTGTTTGTGAATAAAATAAAATATAGTTAAAATTTGGTTATAAATAGGAGTATAATTAAAAATGTTTTATCGTTAGTAAATAAGGGAGAGAATTAAAGTTCTAGACTAGTACGCAGACGTTCCTTTGTGAAAAGATACTGTCGTTATCTTTTTCAATTGATTTTTTTTATCCTCTCAGCTTGAGTACCTTTGAATTATTCTCAATATAAAATCTCTGCAAGGACACTATACGTATACATGAAGTAATTCATGTCTGACTCAAATTAATTTTAAAGTGAAACTTTTTTCTATTATACAAAACTATTAACCCAATTAATATCTACAATTTTCTAAACATTGTTATGTTGTCTTTCCTCTCAGCTCTCACACATATTTTTTAATTTATATGAGTAAGTTTTCATAACCATTTTTATTCTACGGTTATATATATATACTTTTTTTACTTGATTTGGAGGCATATAGATCGATATAGTATAGTTAAGATTTGATTTTTTTTTAATAGTCAAATAAAAATGAAAAATAAATTCGACAAGAATGATATGATAAATACGATGATATGAACTTTCAAAGGTGAATGAATATGTATTAAAGTGATATATTCTATTCAATTTAAGACCGCACGAGGATAGTCGTATACTAGACTTATAGTATCTCTACATCGTTATATATTGTAACTGGACACATACATACAAACATGAAATATCTAAACAAAAACAATTCCCAAGGGTTTTTATTATCTATGGTAGGGTAACCTTTTTGGCTAATTATGAGCTGAATATACAGTTTTAAGCAATGATGAGTTTCGTTATAAATTAATTGACCGTATATATTTAAACAAAATTTAGATAGCTCCTGCAACTCAAAACCGTTAGGTGTTTTTTTTTCTCTTACAGGAAAAACGGTTTTTATTGATTAATTTAAAGTATGATTTGCATTCGTAGTAACCAATAAAGCACAAGCTTACGAACGAGAATTCTAAAGTTCTAGTAAAACAAACGAGAAAATCAGCTCTGTTGTTATTTATCTTATTCTATTTTTTTTTTTTTTTTAAATATCTTATTCTAATATGATAACTCAAACTCATGGATTTAAATCTTTAGCAACCTCTAACTTGAAAAGCTGGCCATTCTTCAATGTAATTGACCGTTTTAATCAACTCTGTCGAGTCCGTAAAATGAAAATTTAGTTATAAATTCTAATTCCTCTTTTTTGTTAAAGTATAAATTCTAAATTCTAAATTCATCCCAAACAACAACTACTACACTAGCGTATCTATAAAATTATGATAAATTCCTTCTACAAACAAAGTATAAGTATATACCCGCAATTTGTATAAATCATGTACTAATCATATTATTAGCTCATTGTACGCACAACTTATGATATTTTGATTTTATTGAATGAATATACACATACAATGTAAATTGGTCAACCTCATATATGAGTGGGAGGTCCCATGGCATATTTACATAGAACAAGAATAAGTCAATGAATATGGCTGAGATTGATATGCACACAAAAAAGCATATTATCTAAGAATAAAATTTGAATTACAAATATTTTTAAAAAATATATTATAGGATTTATTTTAACTTTTTAAGTATGAAGAGGAAACAGGGAATTGTCCAATGTAGCACAAAATTTAGTGTAGGAATATGGAATTAAAGCGAACATAACATAAGAATATGGTACCAAAACTTTAAGTTATACATATACATGGTTTAGTGATATGTGGAGAATTATGCATCAATGTGTAAAGATAAGTGTTACTGTTGGGGACCTCTTCTTCTACTTATTAAAGCTCTTTTATTCTTTATTTTATTTTTACCATATGTTTTTCTTCTTTTCTCCATTTTTAACATTGATTTATTGGTTAAAGCTTGCTGGGGCTATAACCCTTTTTGGCTTTTGTAGGACTGACGATTGTGCAGCTATACATGGTAATACATTTTTCAGATATTAATTACCTTGAATTACATTAGAAACAGTATTCTTTCTTTGCCAGCAATATCAAATACTGGCTATTATACATTTATACGACTTGATTGTACAATAAATTAATCATCGCACACAATTCTGGCTAGAGAATAAAAAATTGGTATTAACTTTTAAATATAAATATACAAATCAAAGTTCAAATTGCATGAGAATTGGAATCAATTCTTCTCCTCTTTGGTGAATAAAGATAGATTCTTATTGCGCCAACAATATTAAAAAATGAAAATAGAACTCCCGCGATAGATGCCAACCGTATAAACTTGGCCAGCCACGTTTACATATCGTTTTTTTTCTAACACATTTACATAGAGTTACATGCAAGTGTTAGAATTAGATGATACACATAAAATTCGATCATAATTATGTTCACGATTTTTTTGGCAACCATTATCACGATTATCCACAAATATAATTTTTAGTTAATGAATAGTGAGGTTTATGGATTAGTATTAGCAAATCACGCAGCCTTAAGATCATTTCAGCGAAATTTTATCTTGCTTTAAACTAAGTAAAGCTAGTATTTAACTTTTAGCTAATTGTTGTTGAAGCAAACTAAAAAATGGAAATAAATTAATGGCAATAAAGTAAGTCGGCTTAGAAAAATAGAGGCCACGGTTGCTTGAACTTCAAGCATCTTTTTTTTAATGGTGCTTTGGAATTTCTTCTTCGAAATGAATATATTCCTTCCAACCTTCATATCTTTCCAAAAAAAAAAAGAATGAAAGAAAATAAAATCCTAACTTTGGCATACAACCATGTAATTTAAAGATTTTGCGAAACACAACTGAACAATTTCTTTCTAAAATCAATATCCTTATTTTATGTAACATTGATAGATTGATTGAATGCTTTGACTCTCCTAAACAGTGGCACATAGAATATGTGTTATATAATAAGATACTGATGCAAAGAAAATAAAGTTACAAAAAACATCGACTTGTAGGAATAGCTAATAATTGTAAGCAAAGAACTACACCGCTATCTTTTTAGTATATCCAAAGCAAAAATTGTCCGAATATTACAGAAAAACTAACGTAAAAACAAAAGTTAAATAAAAAGTAAACATTGGTCGTATACCAAATCTTTATAATTTTGAACAAGTAACCTCCAAGTCCTTATTATGTTCCAAAGTAACAAAAGGAACCAAACTCTAAGCTTTTTATTGACGGGTACGAGTTAAACAAACTAAATCACTGTCTGTTCATATCTCCCAAGCATACGTATTTGATCTGCATCGAAGCCAAGAGCCAAGACTCAATACCGAAAAGTAAATTTATAAGAATTTATGCTAATAAAGAATTTACAGGACATATTCTCATCGATAGGCTATGTAAGACTATAATCATTTCGATCGAATGAAGTGTAAATGAGTTACCTCAAGGTATTCGTCCATACCATACTTGGATCCTTCCCTTCCAAGACCAGACTGCTTCACTCCCCCGAATGGAGCCACCTGCAATTATAAAAAAATGTAAGCAAAATGTATGGCTACAATTTCGAGAATGTGCTTCTTTCATTTCTGGACTTGCCTCTGTTGATATGAGTCCTTCATTCACCCCTACAAGTCCGTATTCAAGTGCTTCCGAGACACGCCATGATCGTTGAACACTGTTTGTGAATATATAAGCAGCAAGTCCTGCACACACACACATAACAAATTTCCTTTATCATGTTAGCCCAAAACTCGACATGTAGAAGAAAAGGTCACTAAGATTAAGTTAGACAAACCTGCAATTGTATCATTAGCGAGTCTGATAGCGTCCTCCTCCGTTTTGAACCGAATAAGGGGAGCTACGGGTCCGAAAATCTCCTCCCTAAGAGAAAGCATATTAGTTTTTTTCTGATTACAAAAATGCGAGGAACACTAGATGTTTCATGTTTCTAGTTCATTTTTAAAGGAAACAAGAATCTATAACCCTACAATTATGTGAATCATTCAGAACTTACTTAGAAATGAGCATGTTATCCTTAACATCACGGATAATAGTAGGCTCGTAGAAAGTCATCCCTAGACTGTGCCTTTTGCCGCCGAGAATGATTTTTGCTCCCTTAAAGAAAAATACAACAATACGTAAGATATTCCTCTTGTTAGTATGAATTGAGGAAATACAAAAATAATTTCTTGCTTAATGGCATACAAATCTAAAATATGAACTACCTTGCTTAGAAACAAATGTAAGTAAGGATGTATCAGAGAAAATACAAACCTTGGAAACAGCATCTTGGACAAATGACTCTACCTGCAATCGTTTAGCATGAAGACTATTAACATTAGCGCAAACATTATTGATGTGTATGAAAAAAAATTTAAAGAAACTAGAAAGTATAATTAGTGTACCTTTTGCACTGCTGCATCGTTTATAAGTGGACCCTGTAAGAATTTTGAAACGACAAATAGATTTAGAGCAGATATCAGAGTACAGAAGAGATTCAGTAAACCTTAAATCGATTCGCTTGGGATGCTAGTATGATCTGCTTTCTATATTCGACAGCGGGTATAACATCACAGAGCAAAAGCATAAGATAAAAAAAGGGCATACCTGGGTTGTTCCCTCCTTAAAGCCATCACCTACTTCTAATTTTTGAACAGCTTCAGAGAAAGCCTCAGCAAATTTATCATAGATACCTGTGGAAAAAAGTAAATATAATATTGTCAATACTAGATGCAAGATCCAGAAGGAGTGTGGGATGTGCAGAGTATCTTGATTCTTACCATCTTGCACAAGTACTCTGTTCGCACAAACACATGTCTGACCACTATTCCTAAATTTTGCTGCAAGCTGCAATAACATATCAAATATAATGGTTTAGGGTACTGACGATCCCATAGTGAACCCACTAAGAAAATTGAGCTTGAAACTAAGAGCTCGGATAGGTGGAGCTTGGAAGTAAATAACGCGTATGGAAAAGAAACGGGATATTTCACTTCAGATTAATGTCTCCAGATGGCTAACACTTTTGCATATTTTGGATAAAACAATGCCTTAACAGTCATGACTATCACTTACCGTTCCTTTTACTGCTACACCCAGGTCTGCATCATCAAATATTATGGAGGGTGCATTGCCGCCAAGTTCTAGAGAAACCTACACCAAGAAAAAATGAAGAGGTATCAGCGATATTCAATCTGGAGAATATTTTTTGAATAACATGATATTGTTTCTTAAGTATACCTTTTTGACAGTAGGTGCAGCAGCTGCCATCAACTTCTTCCCAACTGCTGTTGATCCTGTGAAAGTGATTTTCCTCACCTGATTAGCACAAGAAACAAAAACAGCCAATTTTGACAAGGTTACTTCTCATGAATCACTACTAATGGCCGACATACATAGATCACAGAAAGATGATTAGAGAAACCTGTGGACTCGAAAGCAAAGCATCCCCAATTTCAGGAGCATTTCCCATGACCACATTAAGTGCACCCTAATGAAAAAAACATGCAAATAAATCATACATACAAACAAAAAACACAAAGTAGCTGCAAAGAAAGGTCTGCTCAGTAAGTTCATGAGCTGATAAGAAACATTGTAAAAATTAGCCTTCCAGATACAATAGTCATTCATCAATGTCGTCTTTACTAATTATCAGGTCATCTCCCTGACATGAGGATATCAAACCAGATCAGACAAGAGATCATAACTTACCGGCGGAACTCCAGCTTGAAGTGCAAGTTCAGCGGCAGCAAGTGCTGTTAGGGGCGTAAGTTCAGATGGTTTAACAACCACTGTGCATCCAGAAGCAAGAGCAGGGCCAACCTGCAATACCGTCAACCATCCACATCAAACTTTATGAAACAAGTTCTGCATGATCTCCTGGGATAGTATACTAGACAGGCTATTTACAGAAAAATAAGGTAAATTGAAATGGTAAAACAAGCAAGACCTTCCGAGTAATCATGGCTAAGGGAAAGTTCCAAGGGGTAATTGCGCCAACAACACCAATAGGCTGTATAGAAAATCAAGAGAGTCAAGCAATGCAGGTGTAAGGTAAGCACCTGCTATATAAATACAACCGACTGATGCAGAATTATGTCACTGAAAAGAAAAGCTACATATATAGAAGCATGAATCAGGACATTGGGCAAACCTGTTTTAGAACCAACAACCGGCGATCAGACAAATTAGGAGGAATTATATCACCATATATACGCTTTGCCTCCTCTGCATAGTACTCGATAAAACTTGCCCCATATGCGACCTGTAAACTAAATTACAGAATCATATATTGCATTTAAGAGACGATTGCAACACTTGAGACAAGCCCAAACAGCACATTCAATGTTCTCAGATATAAAATGAATCTACCTCTCCTATAGCCTCCTTTAGTGGTTTTCCTTGTTCCAAAGTTATAAGTTGTCCAAGTTCTTCCTTGTGTGCAATCAGGAGGTCATACCTATGTTTGGAGAAACGAAGTGGATCAGGACCAAGATACCAGAAAATCCCCCTACTTTAACCTCGACATTGATAAGGGATGTAAAAGAGTATGCATTGCTACAGGATAAAAGTTTGTACCATCTCCGCAAAACTTTGCTTCTCTCTCCAGCAGTCAATTTGCTCCAAGCTGAACGTAATAAAATATATTACAGGAAATAAGTTTTTATCCTTCCCAGCACATTGTTCAGTGTGAATAGAAGTGACCATCAAAGGACATTAAGAAAGAAGCTTAAGTAATCAAGAAGAGAAGCCATGGGTCACATACACGGAAATGCTTCGTAAGAGGATGCAATAGCATCATTCGTCTCTTTGACTCCCATACGAGCAACATCAGCTACAAGTTCACCGGTTGCTGGATTGTTAACCTGACAAGAAGAATATACGGATGTCAACAGAAAGCATTGCAAATAACAGCTCCAAAAGAGAATATAAGAGGCGGAGGAGATGTATGACCTTGATTGTCGTCTTGTCATACGAATCAATCCACTTTCCTCCTATTAGACCTTGCGTTCGTAAAAGACCGGAGCTCCTGAGCTTTTCGGAAACGCTTCGTGCGTCCATACTCATCTGATAATCAAATTCAAATGAAGAACAACAAGTTACAAAAACTCCTCATATTCTCTTGGATAAGCGTTTTAGTCACACATCTCGTCTCTCTAATAAAACAGTAAGTGACAGCTAGAAAGTTTCAGCCTAGTTCACGAATTCCCAGTCACCATGTTTAGCAATAGCATAGTAAAGTAAGCTCAGAGGAGATCGTTAACGGCCACAACTATTTGGCAACCACGAGATCGAGGAATCCAGATTTTGAAACAGCTATCAGCAATCGGAAGAAATCTCTCGATCTATCTTAGCGAGATATGCTAGCGACTGAGTACAAATCAATGAGTAATATGAATATACAGAGGAAATGATTGAGAAATGTTTACCTGGCGACACTGAGAAGAGACGAGGGAAGCATGTGACGAGACAATTCTTCGGCAACCGTCGATAGCTACACGCGCGGCCGCTCCGATTACCATTTCCAGTCTCGAGAGTCTATAAAACTCCGATTGATTTCAATCGAACAAGACGATAAAAACTGGTTAGTGAGAAGAGGAGATCAGAAGAGTATGATAATAATATCTTCTACGCCATCACAACAGACGAGAGTAATTAAAAACCAAAATAATTCAAAATTGGAAGGCAAATAATGACAGGTTGGTGAAATTTGACTGTACGCGTCTGGGCTAGTGCAAATATTAGTCGACGTGGCGCTTACACCGTATCTGCCGGGTTTGTTCGTGGACTTGGTTTTTTTTTAACCCAAATTCAAAAAATTGGCGTTTTTATGTATGTGCGCATAAACAAAATTGTAGCGTTTAAAAGTTAAAAAAACAATCGTAATTTTAGTCCAAATATGAGTTCATTGTAAAGTGCGTTAAAGAATGAGTTAGCTAAAATAGAAATGTAGTTAACTAGTTATCTTAAAAATAAGAACATCAAGCAAGATGATTCGGACTAGTAACACGAAAATCGTAACAACAAAGTGATTCGAGTCATTCGACTAACAAATAAGCTAGTGGTGAATTACAAAGTGACATACGAAATTTTGCATTCGGAGACGAGAATAAAATAAAAAGTAGTCATTATATATTGGCATGACGACGAATAATAAAGTGAGTTTTGTTATTACTTAATAAAGGATATTTCCTTATTTTGCATGTGTCCTCTTTTTCCATTTTCAGAGTTTTTCCTTGTTGCTCGCCAAATCTTATTCACTCTCTCCACTCTCTTCTCATAAATGATTTCTCTCTTTCTCTTTCTCGTATCCTTAACCTAACATTCTTCTCCTCCGTTGGAATCGGATCTGTTTCCTCCGTCGTTGCTTTTCAGAATCGCCAGACAAATTTGGTGTGACTCGAGATTTTCCTCTGATTCCGTTCTCGTCAATGAGCTCCACCGCGGCATCCTCTTCCGCCGGAGGAGGCGGATCGGCCGAGCCTTCCGGTGTAAAGAAATCATCCAAGCGACCAAAATGTGATCTATCTATCACCCAACTTTTTCTACATTATTCCTAGCTATGAATCTTTATCTTTTTTCCAGAGGTTTTTCTGATTCAGTCTTTTAATCTTTAGGGATCGTACTTAGAGTTTTCTTTGTCTTGTCTCTCTTGGAATGCCGATTGGGTTTCCACAAGACCCTCGTTAATTTTTCTGCCTTCGATTGATGCATTTCTTGTTTTTCTTCCAAGAACAGAAAGTCAGAAACTTGGTTACTTGTTTACGGTGTTGCTTTACTTCGATCACCATATTTTGTTTATGTTTTGTATCATGGGAACATTCTATCTTTACATGTGTTTACCATCGCTCTCCATAAACCAAATTTTCTTTTACCAGATTCAAAATTTACTCAGCAGGAGCTTCCAGCGTGCAAGCCAATTCTTACTCCAAGATGGGTGAGTTCCAATCTCGGCTAAGTCACATTCTTAGATTCACAACTGTGTTCAAACAGAATGCTTCTCTGTTTTCTTACTGTTGATTTCTATTTGCAGGTGATCTTGACATTTCTTGTGGCTGGGGTTGTCTTCATTCCTCTAGGAGTGATCTGCCTATTTGCTTCTCAGGGAGTATGTGCATTACACTAATGTTTTCTCTCTTTGATTTTGTGGTTTATTGAGGAGTTGTACATTCAATCCATGAAGGTTGTCGAGATTGTTGATCGATATGATATAGACTGCATTCCAGCGTCTTCTAGGGACAAAAAGGTCGCTTACATACAGAGTGCAGGAGATAAGATCTGTAACAGAACAATAACGGTACATATCTTTAGATATGTTCTCTTAGTTATATATAATATATGGTTCCTTCTCAAACTTGTCTCTGTTTTTGCAGGTCGCAAAAACTATGAAGCATCCTGTCTACGTGTACTACCAACTTGAGAATTTTTACCAAAACCATAGACGGTACTTTTCCTTATTTACTCTGTAATACTACTTGCTTTTTTGTTTGTTACTTTCACTGTAATCTAGTAATCCTCTGGTTTGGTTATATGCCTATAGGTATGTGAAAAGTCGAAACGATGCACAGCTAAGAAGTCCGAAAGAAGAGCGTGATGTGCAGACATGTGCACCTGAGGATAATTTTGGTGGACAACCAATTGTTCCATGTGGTCTTGTTGCTTGGAGTTTGTTCAACGATACTTATCGTTTCTCAAGAAATAGCCAACAGCTTCGTGTGAATAAGAGAGGCATCTCATGGAAGAGTGACAGAGAAAGCAAGTTTGGAAAAAATGTCTTCCCTAAAAACTTTCAGACTGAAGCTCCTATAGGTGGTGGAGCTCTTGATCCCAAGATACCGGTAATAATAAAATATATTTCATCATCAGTTTGGACTATTCCTATTTTATGTGTGAAGTGGATGCTAACAATTGTATAGTTGAGTGAGCAAGAAGACCTCATAGTCTGGATGCGAACAGCGGCTTTGCCAACGTTTAGGAAGCTGTATGGGAAGATTGAAACGGACCTGAACGCGGGTGATACCATAACGGTCATGTTGGAGAACAACTACAACACTTACAGCTTTAACGGAGAGAAGAAGCTAGTCCTGTCAACGACTAGCTGGCTCGGTGGTAGGAACGATTTCCTCGGGATTGCTTATCTGACTGTAGGCAGCATTTGCTTGCTCTTGGCTGTTACATTCGCCGTACTGTATCTAGTTAAGCCAAGGTACGCGTTCTTATGGTCTTCTATTGACTTCTTCATGTGTATAACTGTATAGTGAAGTGATCTTGTTATCTTGTGGGTTTCAGGCAACTCGGAGATCCTTCTTACCTTTCGTGGAACAGAAGTGCTGGTGGTTGATGATCATAGTGTTCTTCAAGCACTCAGGCTTGTTCCCTCCATTGTTATCAAACGGCAGAGTTTTTTTGGCTGACCCAACAAAAAGGATAGAAAAAGTATATAGGCCACTATACAGTTTGATATTGTTGAAAACAACGTTTCCTTTTTTTGTCGTATCATTGGTGATTGTAAGATCCTGGCAAATAAATGGTGTTTAGAAAAATAATGTAAATCAATTAGTTCAAAATTGCATATTAACAAGTCCTCTCCCTGCTTAAGAAATACCTGAGACTGATTTTCGTTTAATTTTGTGAATAAAAGAAGATATGGTGGTTAACGTGTGTTAGACATTAAAAGTAAAAAACAGCTGGATATGAAATGGAAATTTCTATAAAAAAAAAAAATTCTTACCAAATAATTTTGTTACAAAAAGCTAATTTCTATTTTGATTCCAGTTTTTGGAGTAAAAATATGATTTCTCCATATATCTACTACACCTGTCACTCTGTCAGGTTGACATTTACACATGTAAACGTTTAATAATACTTATCCTAAGGTAATTGGTCAAAAAGATTGCTTTGTATACTAATGACTTGTATAAATCAAATGTACAAATTATATTATACTAAGCCAGATTTCCGCATATTTTTGGGTCATACGGTCATCGTCAAGGCTCATTCCTCGGAAGTATACTTCTCTCTGTCACTCTCATTTGCTATCTTTTAGATAATTTTTTTGTGTCCTCTCTGTTTCTTCACAATCGGTAACTGTCTCAGTCACTGACTCTCACTGTTGATGATGACACCGCACGATGTGGAAATCAGGTTGCTACGACGGCGTTTTCGTTTGGTTCCGGTTTCTCCATGTCTATTTCTTCCTCTACCAACCTCCGCTCCTCCGCTTGTTCGTCTCCGATCTCAGGTTACCGTACTCTCACTTTTCTCGAATCTCTTGTTTGTTTTTCCTGGCATTGTTTGATTTCTTCGCTTGCATGTTCGTGGATTTACTGATTTCTACTGGATTTTTTTCTCCACTATTAGTTTCATATCTTCATTTCTCTGATTTCTCCGGTTTAAATCGAGATTGAAGTAAACTGGCATGATTCTGCAGTTTGACGCCACTGTGCGAACTTTTCCGCAGTGGAATTTGTTTGATTTGGTCCTTTTATTTATATGAAATGTTGAAATTGATGATGGATTTGGTGTAGTACAGTCTCTTACCTAAGATTTCTCAAATTATCCGCATCAAAGATTCCAAATATTCGATGATAATCAATTGGTAGTGTTCTCTCGTTGTGCAGCTACTTTGGAGAAGAGACTGGAAGCAGTAGACTATACAAGAACGAACAATGTGGTAAACGAAACAGATGGACCTTTGTGATTCGTAATCTTATACAATATCTGGAATAAGATAATATTTTTGGTCTGATGTTCTTAATTTTGTCCAGAGCTTTGAGCAGACGAAGGAAAAGATTAGGAAGATGTTAGAGAAAGTGGAGCTTTCTGTTTCGGCGTATGATACTAGTTGGGTAGCAATGGTTCCGTCTCCAAGCTCCCAAAACGCTCCACTTTTCCCACAGTGTGTGAACTGGTTATTGGAGAATCAACGTGAAGATGGATCTTGGGGACTTGATGATAATCACAAGCATCAGTCTCTTAACAAGGATTTGTTATCATCTACATTGGCATGTATTCTTGCGTTGAAGAAGTGGGGAACTGGTGAAAGACAAATAAGCAAGGGTCAGTTTTTTTGTTCTTCTCTCTTTTTGTTACTTATTTGAACTTTTAGGAATTTCATGGAATGATGAGTGTTGAAAACAAAAAATTCCAGGTCTCCAGTTTATTGAGCTGAATTCTGCATCAGTCACTGATGAAACCATAGAGAAACCAGCAGGATTTGACGTTATATTTCCTGGGATGATTGAATATTCTAGAGATTTGAATCTGACGATTCCATTGGGCTCAGAAGTGGTGAATGCCTTGATACAGAAAAGAGATCTGGATCTTAGAAGGTATAGTCCTGCTCTTCTATTAACATATTTAGATGAAATTCAAAGCTGTCTTGTACAGAAGTACTAACAACGTTTGTTGATTTAATGTTTGATTGGTGATGATAGTGAAAGCTTTTCAAAAGGAAAAGAAGCATATCTGGTCTATCTTTTAGAAGGAACAAGAAAGATTAATGATTGGGATTTGATTGTGAAATACCAAAGGAGAAATGGTTCCCTGTTTGATTCTCCAGCCACAACCGCTGCTGCATTTACTCAATTCAGAAACGATGGCTGTCTGCGTTATCTCTCTTCTCTCCTCCAGAAATTTGAGGCTGCAGGTCTATTAATCAACATAGCTTTCACGTTCATTATACCTAAAAGTTTCCACTGCTAATACATTTGCTTATCTTTTTTTCAGTCCCCACAGTTTATCCCTTTGACCAATATGCACGCCTTAGTATGATTGACTCTCTTGAAAGCTTGGGAATCGATAGGGACTTCAAGAATGAAATCAAAAGCGCATTGGATGAAACATATAGGTAAATGGCTTCAGCATGGTTTTTGAGTTTATTTACACAAAATTCAATGTTATATTCATGATTTTTCGAAACCTGTGTTGACCAATAAACAGATGCTGGCTGCGTGGGGATGAAGAGATATGTCTGGACTTGGCCACTTGTGCTTTGGCTTTCCGATTACTGCATTCTCATGGATATGATGTATCATACGGTATAGTGACCTCTTTCAGATGAATATAGCTTAGATTTGAGTCAACTGCATGTACGTGCTAAGCTGACACACTGTGTTTATTGCAGATCCGCTAAAACCATTTGCTGAAGAATCTGGTTTCTCCGATACTTTGGAAGGATATCTGAAGTATACAACTTCTGTGTTAGAATTATTTAAGGCTTCCCAAAGCTACCCACATGAATCAGCTTTGAAAGAGCAGTGTTCGTGGACTAAACAATACCTAGAGAAGGAATTATCTAACTGGCCGATCATCTCTGTTCGAGATAAGTACCTCAAGAAAAAGGTAGCCTCTTTTTCTTATTAATCTTCCTGTGAGAGCCTTACAGAGTAGTCAATTTCTTAGAGTCTTATCCTTTTCAGGTTGAGGATGCTCTTGCTTTTCCTTCCTACGCAAGCCTGGAAAGATTAGACCATAGGAGAAACTTACTCAGTGGTTCCTGTGTGGGAAACGCTAGGGTTGTGAAAACATCTTATCGGTAAATATGTTGTGCCATTCCTTCCTTGGTTAATTAAACGATAATCTAATCAAGACATCAGGTCTCATTTTTTGTTCTTCTGTGTGGTAGTTTCCCCAATGATTGCAGCTCTGATATCCTGAAGTTAGCCGTGGAGGACTTCAATTTATGCCAGTCCATACACGGTGAAGAAATGAAACGTCTTGATAGGTGCACTCCCAATCAAACATTTTCGCTTTATTAAGCCTTCTTGCATAAGCTAATGAGTTTTTTCGAATATAACCACACACTTGAGCGAGTTCTCTGTCATGACTGTTTCTGTTCAGCTGTCATTTTTATTTGTTATGTCGTCATGAATCAGCTTATATGGCTATATTTCATATCTTTATAATACTGCTCACCAACTTGCAGATGGATTGTGGAGAATAGATTGCAGGAACTGAAATTTGCCAGACAGAAGCTAGGTTACTGTTACTTCTCTGGTGCTGCAACCCTTTTTTCTCCAGAACTATCCGATGCTCGTATATCGTGGGCCAAAGGTGGAGTGCTTACAACTGTTGTAGACGACTTCTTTGACGTTGGAGGTTCCAAAGAAGAAATGGAAAACCTCATAGACTTGGTCGAAAAGTATAACGCTTTGGCTCTTTCTCTCTCTGTTTCCTAGTAAGAAAAGAAAGACATTACATGTTTTCCTCGCTTACAAATTGCAGGTGGGATTTGAACTCTGGTCCTGACTACTGCTCGGAACAAGTGAAGATCATTTTCTCAGTTCTGAGGGACACAATTCTCGAAACAGGGGAAAAAGCATTCATCTATCAAGGACGCACTGTGACTCACCACATTGTGAAAATTGTAAATACTAATCATCATACAGAAAATTATATTCTCTGTTATCATTTTCCTAACAATTCATCTGACCATAGCCAGTTGGTGTCATATATCTTATGCAGTGGTTGGATTTGCTCAAGTCTATGTTGAGAGAAGCCGAGTGGTCCAGTGACAAGCTAACACCAAGCTTGGAGGATTACATGGAGAACGCATACATATCATTTGCTTTAGGACCAATTGTCCTCCCAGCAACCTATCTAATCGGACCACCACTTCCAGAAAAAGCTGTCGAAAGCCCTGAATATCATCAGCTCTACAAGCTCATGAGCACTATGGGTCGTCTACTAAATGACGTACAAGGCTTTAAGGTAAGACTCTTTGCTTAAAAGTTAAAACCCAACATAGTAGCAGTAAATGTAGATTCTGGTTTAAATGTGTCCATGTTTGTTGGCAGAGAGAAAGCGCGGAAGGGAAGCTGAACGCGGTTTCATTGCACATGATACACGAGCAAGACAATCGCAGCAAAGACGAGATCGTAGAGTCGATAAAGGGTTTAGCAGAGAGAAAGAGGAGAGAGTTGCAGAAGCTAGTTTTGGAGGAGGAAGGAAGTGTGGTTCCAAGGGAATGCAAGGAAGCGTTCTTGAAAATGAGCAAAGTGTTGAACTTATTTTACAGGAAAGACGATGGATTCACCTCAAATGATCTGATGACCGTTGTCAAATCTGTGCTCTACGAGCCTGTGACCTTACAGGATGAGTCTTCAACTTGTTGATCTGGCAGGTAAACTCAATAGTATGGAGTTAGTTTTTCGTTTTCTTGTTTGTTTTGTTGTTTCAGAATAAGAAGAGGTTTCTCCAGTTTAGGACAATTTTATAATGAAACTATAAGTGATTTATAATTTAATCTTTGATCTTTCAGACTTTCACCAATTCAGTTCCTAACTTTGTGTGTATTGAAACAATATTAGAGAAAATTGATGTTAGGATTGTGAAATGTGGAAATGTGAACAATAATATTAGTATTATTGGTCAATAAAAACTAAAAAATATAACAAGAACAGTCATAATATATGAAATAAGTCAAACAAAATTCCTCAAAACTTGGCCAAAAAGCTTAAAACGATCTCTTCTCGTAAGAAACCAGCCCGTGAACACCTCCTTCGATCTGTGCTGCACCGGTCCGAGCCTGTCACAACATCAAACCACACGAGACAAAACAGCATTAACACTAGGCTAAAGTGTTATATGATCTTGGTCCCAACTTCTACTCCCTACAAGGACAGTTTTCAATTTACCTCGAGCCTGAGGACGTTAGATCTCAACAGATCATGAGCAGATTGCAAGGAAGAAGCACCAAGGTCTTGGAAACCTTGCTTCACCGCATGCATCGTGTAAGGTATCAACTTCAACACCGAGCCTTTATCCGCAACTGCTCCAACCACTCCTTGAGCAATCTTGAGCTTCGTCTTGTCTCCCAAGTATCTCTGGTCACTTCCTTTAGTCATCGCTTCTAGCGATCCCATTCCACGGTACTTCTTGATCCTCTCCCCGTTCTATCATCACCACAAACCAATCAAAACACAAGAACCATTTCAAGAAAAAAAGATGTGATAGTACTAATACCTTATACTCGTAACCCCCGGGAGCTTCAGTGCTTCCAGCTAAGAAGCTTCCCATCATAACAGTCGATGCTCCGAGGACTAAAGCTTTCACAATGTGACCTGAATTCGATATACCACCGTCCGCAATAACCGGAATCCCACTCTGTTCAGCAATTGAACAAACCTTGTACACTGCAGTAGCCTAATAATCACATAAACCAAACCTTAAGTTATACAATTCACAAAGTTTAAGCCTTTTTAAAAATTCAGAAGCTTTTCATTTTTACCTGTCCACGACCAACCGCACAAACCTCTTGTGTGGTACATATCGAACCAGACCCCATACCAACTCTCAACCCATCAACACCAGCCTGAATCAAATTCTGCGCCTGGTAAGTCGTCACAACGTTACCACCAATCACATCCAACTCAGGGTAAGTCCTCTTCACATACTTGATCATCTCAAGCTGGTAAACAGAGTTCCCTTGCGAGCTATCCAACACTATCGCATTGACCCCAGCGTTGACCAAATGCTCAAGCCTCTCCTTGTCTGACTCTCTCGTCCCTATCGCTGCACCAACCATCCACTCACCGTCTGGACCAACAGTCCCTGGTCCTGACTTTGGATACCCTTTAACTCTCTCTACATCGTCTTTCGTCACCACGTTCACAGTCTCACCGTCTCGTTCGAGAACCACAAAGCCCTTTTGCTTATCTTCTAAAAGAGCTTCGATCTTGTCGAGATCGATGTCCCATGGTGCGGTGTAGTCGCTGCCGTCGCAGCTCTTCATGTAGTCGTATATCTTCATCTCTCTTTGCTCGTAATTCATTTTCGTCCATTGAGAATTCGTGACGTAGCCTAACAGTTTCGGTGACGTCATTGTTCCTGTTTTAAATCAATCAAAAAGATTAGCCGGAGCTGATGTCAAATCATTGGAACAGTGAAAAGGAATGTGATTCGTTACCTGTTTGCGTGACGAAAACGAAGGAAGAAGGACCAAAGGCGTCTAACGAAGTGATCTCGTACTCCGGGAATTTCACGCCGGCGTCGGAAGCAATCGGATGTCGGAGAGATTTGGCTTGGCGAATTATCGACGCCTGAGCGGCGATGTCGTTGTTATAGTGGACGATTCCGATCCCTCCGAGGGAAGCCACTGCGGCAGCCATGTGAGACTCAGAGACAGTGTCCATCGGAGAGGAAACGCAGGGTATGGAGAGAGGCACGCGCCGGCTGAGGCGCGTGGATAAGGAGACGGCGTCTGTGGAGAAATCGATGTAGTGGGGAAGGAATATGACGTCATCGTAAGTGTAAGAGTATCCCTGAGCGAAGAGTTTTTCGGCTGGAAATCCATCTTCTAATTCCGACATTGATTTGGTGCTTCCGCTAGAAAAAAAGAGAGGCGACATGGATTTTGCTTGCTAGGGTTTAAGCAAAGGGTTTTTGGGAGATTTTAAGAAAAGGAAGACGACAAATTGAATGTATTGAATTGGAGTCGTTGGAGCGTTGTGTCTTGTAAGAGAGACGAAGTTGAGTTCTTTTTATAGTGCAAATCAGATTGGAGTTTTCTTCCTCTCTTTTTTTGTCTGTTTTTCTTCTTCTTCCTATTGTTTATGTTATTTTCTTTCTTTCCTTTTCTCTTGTTACATTCCTTTCGTTCGTCTTTTCTATTTCAGTAATTTTTTTTTCACCAGTTTTACTTAATTTTTAGATTTTATCCCATACAATTTAACAATCAGTTATGACAAGTTTATGGCATTAGTCTTCAAATCGTAACAAAGGTTATAATATTTTGATATGTGTATAAAGGGTAAAGTACATTCTTTCTACTTCAAATTTTATAGTTTCATCCTCAACAAAATTACTGAACGCTACAAAAAAAAAAGGAAAAAAAAGTAGCAGTGTGACATAATGACATCCTACCGAAGTAGAGTTTTTATATATTAAAAAAAAAAAGATTCTTAATGAGAATGCGTATATCATCACTTTAGTTCAAAGTTGCAATATCATTGTAGGGGGCAATGAATGTGTGTATAAATAAAGGAGTGATTAGTGATAGTAGTTAGTAGATGCAACGTACTGCAAGTCTAGAAGACCTAATTCCATTAGCAAAAGGCAATTACGAATTTAGCATAATATTTATAATTATGCCATTCCCAAGGAATTCAGTATTCATGGAGTTTTAATTGGTTACAACTTACAAGTGAGAGACCCACCTAACGTATTATATTACATATCAAAATTTCTTTGATATTATTCGTATCCAAATCCAATAAAAGGTGAAAACTAAAAAGTGAGAGACGTCTTCTTCTTCATGCGTCAGAAGAAATCAAAATGGCACCCATTAAAGCCTGTTTTCCATAAAATAATACTCAAAGTTAAATGAATATCGATATCATCAGCAATTTTTATTGGAAAGGAATAATTTTAAAAACATGAAAACCGTGTTTACTTGGGTCGATGGTGACAAGCATGCCGGTACCACCGAACGTGCACGAGCCACCAGCACTTTTGGTCCGTTGCCAGTAGCTATTGAAGGCGAACGAAGCATGTGCCCACAACGTATTGGGTTTAAAGCAAGGTCCATTTGGCTGAATTGAATGGCAGTCAGCTCCTGACCCACATGCGAAATTCATGGCTTCTTGGATAATGGGGTCAGGCACTGAGGGCTTAGCCACACACCAGTAAGCCGAGGTCGGAGTGACGCTAGATGGTGGTGGCACCATAGGCGGTGGATAAACGATCGGAGGTAAAAACTGTGATGATGGGCTTGGAATTGATCCGGTCGGGGATGGAATACCGCCGGAAGGTGTGGGAGTGACCGTAGGGGTTGATGGGCCCGGGTCATTGTACGGTGGACCTGAAATGGGAACCGGTGGGCTTAGTGTATAACCGGGTTCAGGAGGACTAGGGAATGTTTCCACCGGGTTTGGGCTGGAGGATTCAGGAGGGTATGGGACGGTAACGGGTGGGTTCGGGTTAGATGATGATTCAGGTGGGTTCGGGTTAGATGATGATTCGGGTGGGTTCGGATTAGATGATGATGCGGGTGGGTTCGGGTTAGATGATGATTCGGGTGGGTTCGGGTTAGAAGATGATTCAGGTGGGTTTGGATTAGAAGATGATTCGGGTGGGTTAGGGACAGTAATGGGTGGGTTTGGGTTAGATGAAGAATCTGGTGGGTTCGGGTTAGAGTTTGGGTTAGAGGTGGAATCGGGTGGGTTTGGATTCGAGTTCGGGTTAGAGGATGATTCGGGTGGGTTAGGTAGAGTGATTGGGCCGGGAGGTGGGCTAAGACCAGGATCAGGGGTATTTGGGGGATTAACGCAAAAAGGAGGGGCGTTTTCAGGAACTGAGAGCGGGGGAAGTGAAACATCAGGAGGTAGAGTGAGAGTTGTGCTAACACCATAAGGTTGAGTGTTGGAGGATGTTGTGTAATCCAAAGGCTGAGCAAGATTGAGTTGTGTCATCATTTTCTCCAACAATGATGCGTGCTTTAATGCTTTGATGATGATCACCTTCTTTGGCTTGTGCTTTGAGTCTCTATCAAATCCCACATGTTTTCTTGCATCTACCACTATATAATACAATCAAAATCAAATGCTTTTAAAGATATGTAGAAATGGAGAGAGAGTGAGAAGGAGAGACTTACCAGAATGAGTGAAGAAGCTGGCTGAGAGAAAGAGACCAAGGAGAATGCATGTGGTTGTGAGACCTCTATTTAATTCCATGGTTTTCAAGATGAAGAGAAGCCAAGTCTTCAAAACTAGAACCAATGAACTAACTGTCAAGAAGAAAAAAGAACCAAGATGGCTTGAATATTTGTCTCTTCTCTCTCTTTCTCTGTATATATGTTGTTTGTGTATGTGTCACATGCATGTGTAGAAAACAAAACAGAAAACTCTTAAGAATCCTGCAAGGTAACCTGTAGAAGGATTCAAAGGTTCTGTTCATAAAGATTGGAACTTTAGCCGCTCACTTTTGCTGTCCTAGAACAGTCACTTTACTACAGACAATGTATGAATTATGACATAATTAATGGAGTTATAGCTGTCTAAATAATATAGATCGTACAAGAATATACACATACATCAGTGCCAATGGGCATATATGCTTGCTTGGCATTCGCAAAAATTATCAGAGAGGAAAGTTGTTTGTAAATAAACTTTTGCTTGCTTTGTACTCAAACAAAGCTCTTTAGATTTATCTTTTTCTTGACTACATCCATTTGCATAAACTTCACACATTCTCGTTAGATGCTCTCTTCTCTCTGTACTTGAGGCTTGGTTAAATAATATATTTATAAAATAAACCCAAGTTAGGGCTCTTTGAAAAATGTTCAAAATCAAATGTTCAGAAATTCAAAAATTTAATTGCTACGGTCATTTTAGTTAAACATGTTTTCCTAATTTAAGAATGAAAACGATGGATAGTGGTCCATTATCCTTTCCTACAACTATTCTCTTAAATTTGTTCCCCTTGATATGTTCTAGTATGGATTATTAGATTGCTGAAAAGGAAGTTTATAAAAAAAATTCAAAATCTTAACAAGTATGGCTAAGATAAATTGGTTAGAGATGTTTGTTTCATTGTACATGGACCCGGATTAGAGTTGCAATTTCTGCCACAAATTTATCAAATTCAGGTTCGGAATTATGGTTATAGAAGAAAAAAAAATTAATGTAAAAAAACATTTGGACTGTATTATCGTCTTACCGATAAGTAGTTTTACTGAAATGATTTATTTTGTTACTACTTTGGCGAGAGCCTTTCGACTGTAGTATTATCGAAAAACCCCTTCTTCTAAACTCTCTGGTTTTAGGGTTTTAGCCGAGCAGGAGACGGAAAATCGCGATCTCCGGAGACCAGGTCAGGATCGATTCCTCGAATCTCAATTCGCGCTACATGAACCAATAGTACCATCCGCATCTTCGATGATCCGTGGAAGAACCGCGAAAGCAATTCCCAGAAATGTCATTTTCACGGTTAGTCGGAGTACCATTTCCGGGACCCCATCGCTTTCTCCCATTCCAATTAACCCTAGTTTAGCCGGTGGTTACATCCGGCTACTCCGCTATTTCACTGTCGGCGGAAATGCCTCTAGTCCGGGTTGTTCTGTATCGAGAAACCCCAATTCGATTGGATTAAGTAATTTCAGGAGATTCTGTAGCGATAAGAGCGGAATCAGTGAATCGAGTAGCTGGACGGAGGAGGTAGAGTATTTAGACGAGTCCGGTAGTGTAATACACAGCGGTAAAGGGATAAGATCAGTAGAGCCAGGGCTTGATGACCATGTTATGGTTGGTGGATTGAAGAAGCCTCTCATGAATGCTTCCGCTGTTGCGAAGATCGTTGAGGTTGTGCAGAGATGGAAATGGGGACCTGAGCTTGAGACTCAGCTGGACAAGCTCCAGTTTGTGCCGAGCATGGTTCATATAAAGCAGTCGTTGAAGATTGTTGAAGGTGTTGATGCGTCGCTGAGTTTGTTCAGGTGGGCTAAGAAGCAGCCTTGGTATCTGCCTTCGGATGAATGTTACGTTGTTTTGTTTGATGTGTTGAATAAAGGGAGAGACTTTGTTGGGATCCAGACGCTGTTTGAGGAGATGGTGCAAGACTCGACTAGTCATGGTGGTTTGTCGCTTACTGCGTATAATAAAGTGATTCAGTATTTGGCTAAAGCTGAGAAACTTGAGGTTGCGTTCTGTTGTTTCAAAAAGGCTCAAGAGTCAGGGTGCAAGATAGATACGCAGACGTATAACAATCTGATGATGTTGTTTCTGAACAAGGGGTTGCCGTATAAGGCGTTTGAGATTTATGAGAGCATGGAAAAGACTGATTCTTTGCTGGATGGGTCGACTTATGAGCTCATCATACCAAGCTTGGCCAAATCCGGCCGTCTTGATGCAGCTTTCAAGCTTTTTCAGCAGATGAAGGAAAGGAAACTCCGGCCAAGCTTTGGTGTGTTTGCTTCACTTGTTGACTCAATGGGAAAAGCTGGTCGATTGGATACATCGATGAAGGTTTACATGGAGATGCAAGGCTTTGGCCATAAACCATCTGCAACCATGTTTGTGTCTTTGATTGATTCATATGCGAAAGCCGGCAAGCTTGATACTGCTCTCAGGCTTTGGGATGAGATGAAGAATTCAGGTTTCAGGCCTAACTTTGGGTTATACACTATGATCATTGAGTCTCATGCGAAATCAGGGAAGCTTGAAGTAGCAATGTCAGTATTCAAAGACATGGAGAAAGCTGGGTTTTTACCTACACCGTCCACGTATTCATGTCTATTAGAGATGCACGCTGGTTCAGGGCAAGTAGACTCTGCTATGAAGATCTATAACTCCATGACGAATGCTGGTTTAAGGCCTGGCCTGAGCAGTTACATTTCACTTCTTACACTTCTCGCCAACAAGAGGCTCGTTGATGTTGCTGGGAAGATACTTCTGGAGATGAAAGCAATGGGGTATTCGGTTGACGTCTGCGCTAGCGACGTTCTGATGATATATATCAAAGATGCTTCTATTGATCTTGCTTTGAAGTGGCTGAGGTTCATGGGTTCATCAGGAATCAAGACGAACAATTTCATCATCAGGCAGTTGTTCGAGTCATGCATGAAAAATGGTCTTTACGACTCAGCTAGGCCTTTGCTCGAGACGCTTGTGCATTCCTCTGGGAAAGTTGACTTGGTGCTTTACACTTCGATTCTCGCTCATCTTGTGCGTTGCCAAGACGAAGACAAAGAGAGACAGTTGATGTCAATCCTCAGCGCTACCAAACACAAAGCTCACGCCTTCATGTGCGGTCTCTTCACTGGTCCGGAACAGAGGAAACAGCCAGTGCTAACGTTTGTCAGAGAGTTTTACCAAGGGATTGATTACGAGCTCGAGGAAGGAGCTGCTAGATACTTCGTCAACGTCCTTCTCAACTACCTTGTCTTAATGGGTCAGATAAACCGAGCTCGATGCGTGTGGAAAGTAGCCTACGAGAACAAACTCTTCCCAAAAGCCATAGTCTTTGACCAACACATTGCTTGGTCTCTCGACGTGAGGAACTTATCGGTTGGAGCCGCGCTCATAGCCGTGGTCCACACTCTCCACAGGTTCAGAAAACGAATGCTTTACTATGGCGTAGTGCCTAGGCGGATAAAGCTAGTCACAGGACCGACGTTGAAGATTGTCATTGCTCAGATGCTGAGCTCGGTTGAGTCGCCTTTTGAGGTCAGCAAAGTCGTGCTGAGAGCGCCGGGGGATTTGGTGATGGAATGGTTCAAGAAACCGATCGTGCAACAGTTTCTTCTGAACGATATCCCGTCTCGAGCTGATATATTGATGCATAAGCTGAATGTGATGTTCCCAAGCTCTGCTCCTGAGCTTAGATCCATGTCACCTCCAAAACCACTCATGTCGTCCAAGGCGTTTTAACAGAGAAGACAGAGAAGCCGAAGCCATGGGATTGTGAAATGACATCCTCGTTTTTCTAGTTGGGTTCGGTTTCGGATATAAAGTCTTGTCGTCTTTATAGAGAACAAAAAGAATCGAATTAGTTGTAACTTGTAAGTGCTTTCTTTGGCTTCCATGCGGCTAGAGAAGCGCAGCTCTATGCTGTTATGTGCCCGCCCAGAAGCTCAGCTTTATGTCTTGCTATAAATATCGAAATGTATTGGTCAACTAGGGAGTTATCAAAAGATCTATGGGAATTCTGTAAATAATGAAGGAAGTAAGGTCAATTCGGCAATAATAAAATAGTTATCGGTGTTTGCCTAGTTCCCGAAGTTCTGTGGCGTTACGGTAAAAAACAATTATGGGTTATTTTAGTAAATAAAGAAACATTTGAGGCGAAACGGTAAATATTGGAAGAAGTTAACCAATCGGTAAATACTAAATACCTTAAGCGCTATGGTAAATGTGTAAAATATCAGAATATATGGTGTTAATTGGTAACTAACAAAAGATCTTGGCCAAATTTGTAAATATATAAAATGTTGGACCTATAAGACCCATTTCGATTTCTTAACGAGGCATTCAAAAGTCCATTAGATCACGTGACTTCGTAGTTGTCAAATAGCTAAACACCCTTTGGCGTGTCAAATAACTTAAACGACACGTTTGCAATCAAACGGAAAGATCTTCGATAAAAATGTTGATCAAAAGTGAACAGAAACAATAAAGTTTAACTAAGTTGTAACAACTGAGGGATAAAATATTAGACCAGATAACTCCAAAAGAGGAAAAATGTTCGTGATAAATCGGAAGAGAAAGGTAAATCAACACAAGTCCGTAAAAGCCTCGGGCAGAGTGAGGAGCGGAGATTTACCATCGGCAAGTCCTTGGAATGCCTGTCCGAAGGCATAACCGAGAGCCTTGGCAACGGGTATGGCTACTGCGTTCCCCACCTGCATGTATCTGAAATGGGAGAATAATATTATAAAAATCCATTAGGATTAAAGGCTATTCACAAACATGATTGTAATGTAATGAATTGTGAAGGCAATTATTTACTTCTGCTTTGTAGGCCCGAAAAGTTTGTAATAATCTGGGAATCCTTGAAGCCTGGCATTCTCACGCACAGTCAAGACACGGTCTTGCACTGGGTGGATGATCACCTATGATATCAAACATAATTTTCAGTTAGTACATGGTATTCAATGTTATATGCAAAGGACTAACAAATCAATTGATTTCTCTGTTTTGTAGTACTAGATGCTGATGGATTAAAGAGTAAAATGATTCTACTGAAGGTGAACAAAAAACTTACATGGTTATGTGGTTCTGCTCTCGTGATCACAGTTCCCACTGTCTCGTCCCACCAAAGACGTCCAAAAGGTCTACAGAAAAAAAAATAGCTAAAATGATTTTGGAAATGGTAAATATATAAAAATTTGAGAAACTGTAAAGAAGAAGAATGAGGAAGACTTACTTTGATGATGTTCCTCCTACATAGGTCATGGCATATTCTGGTACCTGTCACAAGAAAATAATGAATATTAAAAGCAATCGAAGAAGAATCAATATTGATAAGAGGACCCAAAAAAAAGAGTTAAGTATTATTAAGTATTATTACCAGAGGATTTTTGGAGTCAAGATAGACTCTCGGGATTGTAAGATCCCATTCAACAACATTGTTGTCACCAACTTTGACACCAGGGAAGTCCCTGAAATTAGCTCCCTGGTACCAAAAAAATTTGTGTTTGCAAAAATCAGTACACCACTAGAAACTTGAACAAAGAAAATAACCAAGAAAATACGATCAATGAGTGTGAGGATGCTGTACCTTCTTCTTAGGGACCCTGCAGACACGTTGGTAATCATCTTTGTTAAGATTCAAAGGATGATGGTCGTACAACACGTGCTCTGACTCGAAAGTTGCAGACAAACCTAACATTTCTGTGGAATAGTTTCATAAGAAGCAATTAAAAGGCAGACACACTCAAGTTGCCATAATAGTCGTTTCATTGTTGCCACAAAACTTATAAGAATCTTACCATCTTTGCTTAATCTGATAAACTGTTGAAATGCGGTTTCAGGATCTTTGTCATAAGGTATCTCATCCCTCTTCTCATCGTTTCTAACCTGAACCCACAAGAAAAAAGTTACATAAAACAAGAGAACGCAAGGAAAGGTTTGCTAGTGTTTAGTCACAAAACAAGACTTACAGCTGGAAGGTCGGTAATGACATCTGAAAGTAGGAGCCTCTCTGCCAACTTCACAGTGTGACCTTCAGCATACGCCACAACGTTTTCCTGCATCAATCGTAAGCAGAGAGCTCAATGCATAAACAGGTACACAAGAATTTTCTAGACATGTTGAACAGTAATAATATATAGACTTTACCTCAAACGCCAGAGGAGTAACACCTCTCCTGACAACATCATGTGTTGGAAGAGGGAACTGAGGAAGCGTCTGAAACAAAAACGAAGCAAATCAAGAACTTCATCCATTACTTGACACAGAACAAAGAACTAGCATAACTAAATAAAGAAACTACCTCGCTAGGCAATGCACCCCATAAGAAGAAACGCATCCGGAATTGAGCAAGACCGTATGCACCAGCTGCCATCATCCCCATGCGGGTCTGATAGTTCATCTGGACCAGTCGTCCCACGGCATAGCGAGCAAGGTACCCACGTGCGAACTTCAGCATGTCGACGACGTTTTCCATCAATACGTACTTGGGCTTCAGAAACTCGACGATCTTCATGTAGACGAGAAGCTGTTTGTTTTTCTCATCGGCTAGCGGCTTGTTAGCGTCTCTGAATCGGTTGTAACCGCTGATTCCTTGGCATGGTGGCCCGCCGCATAAAACATCAACACTTCCCTACAATTGTATAAGCTCAAGTGTCAATAAATCATTACCATAGCAGAAGCATGCTAATAAGATTCAAGATACAGTAGCTCTTATATTTCATTGATAAAGTGTCAATAAATCTTTAGAGCCAATTCAATCCTCAACTGTCATAGTACTTACTCTATTCCAAAACTAACTAACTGACTCACACAATATGGTTCTGATGAGCAGAGAGGAAAGTATATTATATACAAGAAGAGTTTTGAGTTTATGGTTTAAACTGAACTATGAAAGCAAAAGAATCAGAATATGGAAAAATATATGCTTACTGCTAATGGAAGATTTTTGCGTTTATGGATTAAATTGAACCTCTGAAAACTATGAAAGCAAAAGAATCAGAATATAATATATGCTTACTGGTAATGGAAGGATGCTTGTTTGAAATCCATGCACAACGAATTCCTTGATTCTCTCACGGCAATTGCTGTTCACACAAAATGCAGAGACGTTAACAACCCATTTGACATATATCATTATGATGAAAGCATTCTCTACAAGCTATTAGGTGATCTCTAACCTAAGCCCTTCGATAGGCTCCCAAGTGTCGTATTCAGGCCCGTAGTTCTTCCACTGCACCTATATTATATCAAAACACCAGAGAACATTGTGAGTATGATGAGGCTAAATCATAAAGATAATATCTGAAACTCTGTAGAAAAAGAGCAATAATACCTTCAGATAAAGTCCACGTTTGGGATTGTCAGGAACTCCAAAGGAAATAGCAATGATCTTTTCCACTTCGAAAACCTCTCCACCATCTTCATTTTCACTCTCATCGCTGCCATCCTCGTTCTCATCCTCCTCAGCACTAGACATCCCATAAAGGTTGGCGTATTCTTCCGGATTCGGACAATCTCTCAAAGAGAAATGGACGCATAACTTCTCCCATTCCTTAAGCAAGAACAGAAAATCTTCTGCAGACTCGTTTCGTACCTGAAAAAACAAGTGACTTTCGCCTTTGAGAATCTCTCTGTAGACCGAGCATAATCACAAAAGACAAAAAGCGAATTGGCTAAAAAGAAAAACACAGAGAAAAGAGTGAAAAACTTACATTCGTTTCTTGGTGATTATAGGTCAAGCTTTCGCATGCGTACTTGTTCATGTCCACTGCCCATTTCTTGAGAAAACCATACCCAAAAAACAAAAGATAAACAATAAAGAGATGCAAACAACAACTTCGATAAGCAATTAACTCACTATAACTAGCATGAAAAAAAGACTCACCGTTACAAGATTTAGCCCGGAGAGTTGTGATCCCATGCACAAGCCAGTCGACATTGCACCACAACCACAGTACAAATCAAGCAATGTGGCATCCGTTCTTTGACCACGTGTAACTCGAGAAGCTTCCTCCTCTACTGATGTAGTAGATGCTCCTTCGTTTACAGCAATATCTGCACCAATGAAAGATCAATAATGCTCAGTTACCTTCAAAAAATGAGAAATTTGTTATCTAATATAATCCAATTCGTGGTAAAAGGACTTGCCTGGTTTTCTAGCTTCGAATGTGGAGTAAGGCAAATGGTAGTTCGTGTCACAGTAGTAATCGCAATTTTCTATAGCAGCGATATCCTCCTTAGGACCTTCCTGGCGTCAGAAAAAGGAATTAATGTTAGTATCAACGGAAAATGCACTTAGGTACTACAAATAACAAAGGATGTTAAATGAACTAAGAACATACAGTTAAAGGAATCATCAGGATGTTCAGTTTCTTCAACAGGCAGTTTAACTCGTTGATATCTCGAATCTCAGAGAAAAACAGACGTTTCTTATCGATTAATTCCCCGTGCAACTCAATAACCTGAAAATTTACGAAAGGCCAAAACATCAGACACTTCAGCACGTCAAAAACGAAAAGGTAAAGAAGAATAAATGCTGATACTTACTGTATCACAAGCTCTGTAGAACCACCGAGCTGTGAAATACAATTTACCATCTACTCCTTCAAACATTTCTTCAATTCTGCAGATGTAAGGATCCTCTCCTTCACCAGCCTTAATAAAAAGAATGAAAAAGGTATATTGAAGTCAAAACAAGAAGTTATATAAAGTAATAGACCTACTTCTGTATAAAAGCATGATCGACCAATGCATAATATACCATTTAAGCCTACCTAACAATTAATTAGCTATTGTTTCAAATGAGAACATTGCCTTGCTAGGACTGAATATGCAGCAGAAGTACACAAAAAATAACCAAAGCAGCGAGTAAAGATGATAATGATTGGTGTAGGAAAGGTCCATATGTGAAGACTTATAAGGTAATAATCATCAATCTCAAATACTAAGAACATAATCTCTTTCCACATTCTCTTCCCTAGCCATTTTCTTCCATGTGACCAAATGAATGCGTTTTCACTGTATGTTTTTCGTTATTTCCATACTCCAAATATTTCACAAGGATGTTTAATGAAAGCAAATCGCAAAAACAGAAAACAAGTGACTAACTTCAAAGCAAAACAAATTCCTAATCAAAGTCTATGATGAAGTATCAATCCGAAAAGTAAAGAAATAAAGTCACCTGAACATATGCATCATCGTAGAGATCGACGGTAAGTCCCTCATCAAGGAAGGCACGCCTATAATGGCGTCGAGCCAGAATGATACCGGCCTCATCATAATCATCCCTACAAAATCATATAGTTACTGAGTCATTTATACGAAACAGGAATATTTCTTAATAAAACAGAAGTAAAAGCCTTCTACAAATGTTAAATGCATATACATCTCTATCTAACTAAGCACTAGAAACAAAAGATTTCAGAACTTACATCTTTTTGCTCTTCGACTGATCTGGAATTTCCTTGTTCTGAAGAAAAAAAAGGAAAAACAAATCTCACAGTTTTCAGAATTCAACCAATATTGAACAAATTGTTCCTAAATTTGTAGTATCCCATAGAATTAAACAACGAATTTCAAAAAAAATAGTCCAGAAATGTGATACCTTGATAAATGGGTATCTCTCAGGCCAGGTACTCCTAGCTTCCGAATCAGCAATTGGCTCATCTATGAACCTCGCCGTAGGCTCGTTCTCCGGCTCCCCACCCACAATCTGCTCCTTTTCCACCGGCAAGGTCTCCTTAGAAAGTCTCTTGGGTTTCGCAAAGGATTTGGAATTCGCAACCTTAACCCGCCTAACAAAAGTCGACATCAGCTCGTCATCGGAATCCACCACCGCCGTCGGCTCGCCTTCAGCTTCCTCCTCCACGGCGGCGTTGGATTTCTTCGGTTTAGCTGCAGCTTTGTTATGCTTGGGCGCCGTGTTACGCCGCCGGAAAAACAACGTCGTCGACTTGTTCTCCGTATCCGCCACCTCCATCGACTCGTCTTCCACAGCCACGGCTGCCTTAGAAGCTATCTCAGCTTTAGCAGAGGAACCGGAAATGTCGTCCAAAGAAGAAAGTCTCTTGCGTTTGGGAGACATGTTAAGATGGAGGAGAATACGAAGCAATTAGAGCTAGAAGACGAAGGAAACCCCAAATATAAAAACCTAGTTCGGCTGCATTTGAGAAGACGAAGGATCGTGGTCAAAAGTAATAATTAATTTCGGATGAAGCGCGTCGCTTGAGCCACTAGAGTTTTGGAGGGAGTTTCCAAAATTTTGGGAGGGAAAGTTATTTTTAATATTTAAAGAATTTGAATATTTTGGGGAGTCTGGCCCAATAAAAGTTCTAGGCCCATCTCTATCTCTCTAGTGGGTCGATTTTATTTGAAGTAGCCCAAATGATATTTCCCATAGAGAGAGTTACGTTTGTATGGTTACCGAAAATGAGTTTCTGACAACATTTTGGTTTCTCTAATCTCAATGATATCTGAAAACTCTAAGTCAAATCACATCTCTACTCATAAGTATATATGCCTGCACTGCATATATTATATGTATATGTATAGTATAATCAATGCAACGGTCTATATATTAGATACAATGAGTGTGACCGACCCAATGGCTCTAAGAGCATATGACAAAACCGTCTTGCATAACCAATTTGTTTCTGTTCTTGCTTGTCCAATGTTCTTCTCACAGCTTGATAGAACTCAATCCAAGAAGACGAGCATGAATCCACAGAGCCAAACATGAAAGTTGGATTAGGACTTGCAGTGACCAAATCCAAGACGGAAGTGGCAGGTTTGAGCTGGTGAGGGAAGTTGAAAGCTAAGTTGTCGACTTTGTGCTCGTAGATTTTGCCGTTCCTGTCGAGTTTGTAGCGAGATGTTCCTTGAAACTCTCCTTTGGCCTCCCATGGAACTCTAGGCTCGCCTTTAAGATTCCACCTGATGAGAATCATGTTCTCTGATGGTTGCCAAACTCTGAAGATATCGAGTGAGATGTCTCTGATCAGAATCTTGCCATGAAATCTGAGTGCCCAAAAGATCAATTTGTAGTTCTCGATTCCAGAGAATGTGTTCATTGGATCAACCAATGTTATATCATCCCTGAAATTAACCATAAAATGACATATTTCTTAATTTCATCATCACAATTGCCAAAATGAGATTATATATTATAAGAAGAGAAAAAGCACCTGTAAACGTCGTAATTAAGATCTTTGTTGAAGAGCAGAGGCAAGTCTTCGCGAAGCGTTCGTACAGCTAAACCGAGATTGATGTAGAACTCATCTTTGTCGTGCTGGTGCTTATCTTGCGGAATCGGCCTGGTCTTAACCTGCGCACCTCGGACAGGAGGAGCCTGGACCGGAAGAGAAAGTAGAGAGAGACTGTCTGCTTCAAATTCGTGGCAATTGAGAGAAGACGACGATGATGATGATTGTATCGATACAGACTGGTTAGAAATGGGTTTATCTTTGAGGGATTTTCCGGTTTGAAGAAGGAAAGATGGAGAGAGATTAGGGAGAAGAAACGCCATAGATGATGGATTTTAGAGCTTAACGTTTTGCAGGGCGAAGAAGAATGACTGTGAGAGAGAGAGAGCAAAGAGATGCACGAAGCTTTCTCTTTGTTGGAAGATAAACAGCTATACGTTTTTTTGAGTGCTATTCAAACCTCGCATTTGTTTTTTTTTTACTTTCTTTTGACTTCTAATTAACATTATTGATTATTCAATGTCATAAATTAAAATGGGCCTTATATCACCACGCGCCTAAATCGGTGACCAATTATAATTGCCAAGGAACGGCTTGAAAAATTCATCGAGTTCAAATAATTTGTAGCTGACGTTGCATTCTCAATTGCTCATGGCCTTCGTTTAAATGCAGTCCGACTCGTAGCCACAATTATATTGAAATGGGTTCCTCTTGGTCTTGGGCATTGATTTGTCTCTGTTCATGTCGTTGAACAATTCCGTCACTAATGTAATTTCGTCTAGACAAGGATTTAGACAGCATGTCTACTCACCACAAGTTGTATTTGGCCGATTAGTTACGTTACGAGTACTTTATATTCTTCTGATACATTTTTCTTGACTTACGTGATAACCATAAGCTTCATTTGTTAGTAACGAATAATTTCATTATCAATGATTTCATTAGTTCAATTCATGAATTGTCATGATGTGATAACCATAAGCGTAACCAATTCCAGTTCAGAAGTCAAATTGTAGGACATTGAGAACATTAACTGTAGTATTTAAGGATATTAATCGTAGGGTAAAAAAATCAATCGAAGCAACTGAGAAAAACATGTTCCAAAACGAGAATCAGCAACTAATAACGCTTTATTCAATAAAGCAAAACAAAAAGTCAAAAACACCGAACAAGCTGCAATCAAAAACAAGTGAGCATTAAAAATTACATGTAAGGGTTTTTGAATGCACAAGAACTATTAACAGTAGATCATGTACCAGAATCACCCAAAATCAATTTCGGCAACGTACAGCGCTTAATTACACTATTGATAAGTGTACCAGAGACTCTAATTTGTTGCCTTTACTTTTCAATCAATATAAACAGAACCATATCAAAATAATACAAGAGAATTGCAATCAAAACCAAGCGAGTGTAAAAGAAATAGAAAACGCAGATTATGAAACTATCAGTAGATGAGATATGTAAGGGATTTTGAATGAACAAGAACTATTTAAACTAGATCCTGAACCAGAATTCACCCTAATCAATCTCGGCAACGTACAGCGCTTAATTACACTATTGGTAAGTGTACCAGAGACTCTAATTTGTTGCCTTTACTCTTCCTTCAACACACAAACAAGTAACACAATATGACAAAGCAACACAATCATCGAACAAACTTGGCTCAGATTAAAAAAGAGGTTTACATCAACGAGCTGTGAATCTCTCAAAGTTTGATGGTAATCTTGTTTCATCATCAGCGCCTAACATCTAACCAAAAACATTCGCAATTGAGATGAAAAAAGAAGAATTCGAATAGAAAAAACTTTGAAAACGTAGAAAAACAGATCCAAAGCCTCAGACCATAGAGGTGATAAATCATCAAGGAGAAGTAAAACTCTCAGATGGTACGGACAATCACAAACATCACAGGCCGGAATCAACAGAAAACCTTAATACTATGAAGTAACACGAAGAGAAAAGAAGAGAAACACGTGATTATTGAGAATCGCTCTTGGCTGATGTGTGAGTCAGTGAAAAAGGCTGCTTAAATAGCGAAGATATTAGGTTTCAAGAAAACCCTAAAACAGCGTCAATGGGCCTATAATCTTTTCAACGCCGAGCTTATTGGGCTTGTAATATATATCAAGCAAAATTTAAGTGGGCTTTAATATATTCGAATTACAAGTTAATGTGCTTGCGTTACATAACTGTTGTCGCTTTCATATATTTTTTCCCCTGGTAAAGCAACAAATCGCTTACGAAAGTCTCGCTCACACATATTGGGATTTTGAGATTTTATTTTATTCTGTTATATCGAATGCGATTTGGATAAAGAACGAAAAAAAAATTAAGAGAAACCTACTAAAAACATGTTTAATTTAGCTCTAATTTTAGATGGAATATGTTTTGATATTCAAACCTTGCACTTGTGTTCTGGACGATGAGTGAACTCAAAGTCAATATGGACAAAAGCTCTCTCTACCTCAGAGAGTTGCTCGAGCTTCTCCTGAAGAGTCTCTCCGATATTGTGAGCTTCGTGTAGCCTCATGTCCTCCGGCAAAACAATGTCTACCTCAACAAAATAGTGTGATCCAAACGTGTAGGCTCTCACCGTGTCAATGTGCTTGATCTTCTCGTGATGGTTCCATATCAAGAACGTTAGCTTCGCCAAGAAATCTGGTGGCGCAGAGCGTCCAATCAACGAATGTACATTCTCTAAAACCGTTCTTGCCCATGTGCTAATTGTATACAGAGCAATCTGAAAACCATAGAAGAAGAAACACTTTACACTTTTAAATCTCTTCAAGAATGGTGAAGGTTTGATGATGATTTTTACTTACGACAATAGCACCAGAGGGATCAATCCACCAGTAAAATTTTACAGCCAAGACAGCTGTTGCTAAACCGACAGAATTAGTGACAACGTCAAAGAGGTGATCTTGTGCATATGCCCTAACGATTTCGTTCTGGAAACTTCTGCAGTAAAGCATGAGCATAAACTTGACGACTGTAGCAGAAGCCATTATTCCAATCATCCATTTTTCTTCAGTGCTATTCATGTGAGGACCATTCTGTACAAGGAAAAAATATTATTTATCACATTAGGTCATGTAACTTGTGTTACAAGATTAATGAGAAACGAGCAAAAGTTTGTTACCTTGGAAATAAGTAACCTAGCTGACTCTAACAAAACTTGTAGCCCAAGAGTTGCCATCACAGAAGCAAACACAATGATTCCCTATCAGATTCCAAAGGACTAAATATGACTTTTACTTTCATGAACATATGATCTTATAATAAGGGAATTAGGGAGAAGAGAGAGCATACATACCACAGGTTGCATTCGTCGTTTACCGATTGGGTAGTGAAACTGGTTTGGTTTACTCATGGCGTTTGCTGTGAACCATAGAATAAAGCCAGACAGGAGATCCAAGAGAGAGTCTAGAGTTGAAGCAATCACAGCCATAGATCTACTCTCCACAGAAGCATAAACTTTTGCTACAAAGAGCACAAGGTTTGCTACGTTTGAGATGTTAATTGCAAGTCTCTCGCTCTTTGCAACCTTCTTTATTTCTTCCTGTTGAAGTCATTAAATTGACGAAAGCTCAGTGAGAGATTCCAGAAAAAAGGATAAAGATAGTTCTAACTTCTAAGAGTCGAACCTCAGTTGGAGCTGCGGATAAAAAACCAGTTTCGTTGATTGTCTCCATCTCATTGAAACCTTCAAGGAGCTTCTCTTGCTTCTTGTAGTACTCCGAGACTTTACGTTCCTTTTCTGATTTTCGACAACAAGGGAGAGTAAAAAAAACCATGTCAAGATTTGGTACCTGTGTACTGATGATTCAAGAATGTCTAAATAATCTATCCTTGATGGTTTTATCATTTTCCTATAGACAATGCGTAAAACCTACGAAGAATATGATTCTACGTCCCCATCACACTTAAAATAAGAGAAAATGATTCTGTCACTATTTCTTGATCCTTATTTAGAATCTGAGATTATGGTACATGTGCAAAAGAAATAATGTTTTATTCATTGAATTTACTAACACAAAACCTAAGATATAATCAAACGAAGAGAAGTTTAGTTCCTTTAAAAGTGAAAACAGAGGAATATATTTACACATAAATTAGGCACAATGGCACTCTAGATGTTTTGGAAAAAAAAATTAAAATAGAATTAAGAACAATTCCATGGCATGAATCATGTGTAACACGTAATGGTACATGATACATCGATTTTTCACATACACACGAAACGCAAGAACGAATTAGGTTTAGGAGAAGGAGGAGGAAGAGGAAGAAACTAACTCGGAGTCCGGAAGTAACGGGAAAAGCGAGTACGGCCAGAGGACAGCGGCGAAGAAGAAGGGACGTGAAATGTGTCGAGGCTGAGACGCCATGTTGACGGTGGCGCATTGTCGTCGTCGTCGTTCGACAAAAGGTCGACATTGTAGTCTCCTCCACTAAGGCCGCCGAGATGTTCCTTCGCCGCCATAACGGATCTCTCTATCTCTCTGCTGATTTTTAGGGGAAGTTACGAGCCAAACAAAAGTTGTTGCTTGATTTTTGGCAGAAAGGCCACGTCTCTCTCTCTCTATATATATATATATCCCATTCTCTATGTATAATGCCAGGCCTCTGATTACAATTAAACAGTGATTGCATTACAAATAATTTGTTGTTTATATGTTGTCACTTGTCAGTAGTTTAATATGCAAAATGGGAACAACCTATTATATTATACAAGGACCATGTAAATATAACTTATATATAGACGGTAAAATATGTTATGACCATATTTACTTTGTTCTGAAAATGAAACGATAATTTTTTTTTTTTTGGTCAAAATGAAAACGATAAAATTAATAAGACTTTTTGTGCATATAAATCATAGAGCTAAAGTAACAATACAAAATCGTAAATTAAAAGACTTTGTATTGGATGAACAATTTAATCTATTTATTCCAACACTCTCTTTCAGAAAATATAAAACTACAGCAAAACATAATTAAATTTCAAAAATATCATTTAAGAAATTTTTGTAACTAATCTCTCTTGTTTTAACATTTTTTGTTCTTTTGTAAACTCAAGAGTCAATGAATATTAAATATACGCAACAAACAAATACTCCTTCCGTTTCAGAATATATGATGTTTTAGGATTTTTCTTTGTTTTACAATATAAGATGTTTTAGAAGTTTTAAGATACTTTTTGGTAATTAATACTAACATATTACAAACTTCAAGACATATTAAGTAAAAGTATTTGAATAGTTAAATTATGATTGGTTAAAAACTATTAAAATGTTGTTGGTGTGAAAAAGTAACTTACACATTAAATGTTTCTTAATTTTCTAAAAAAACCTCAAACATCTTACATTATGGAGTATATTTTGCTTGTTGTAGAAGCAAGATAGTATTTCGTAACTGATGATAAGAACATACGTGGCTGGATTCTCCTGGTGGTTCAAAGAGTAGGGGGGACCTTAAAATAAAAAGCTGGACCATGACTCGTTTAGAGAATGGCAAAGACACTCAATCACGCATGTGATCGTATATATCTCTAACGTTACTTACGTGGGATGTCACTGTTGAACCACCACATTGAGGAACCGCAAAACATCATGACTCTTTGGATATTCGAATAGTTTCTCGGGAGAAAAAAAAACGATAGGCCTTGAATCGCTGACAAAATCGTTGGGATTGAAACGAAACTGTGGGAAATGCAATAAACGAAAGTTTAGGAGTAACTGTAAATAAGCATAAACTTAGGGTAAGTTAACAGTTTTAGAAACTTAGGGTATAGGCGTATAGCCACAGTGTTTTCCGTTTACATTATTTTTTGTACTTCTTTTCTAATCTTTTTATCACATAATTTTCTTAACTTACTCATTTAATATTCATATAAAATAGTAAAAGTATTTGTTTTCCACCATATTGAGTCTAATTTAAAAAAAAAACATTTCACATGTTAAAATTTTAAAATCTAAACAAGATCCAATTTTTTTGTTTTGGGAAAAAAAAGTAAAGCTATATTTTTGAATTTTGCCTTATCTTAAACCCCCAAAGTCTAGACACGGCACTGCCAAGGGGTCCATGTTCAAGCAAGAAAGAAAATAAATGATTGTTAGGCTGCTTTGTGAGTTGTTTCATGTTGATGTTTTTCATCTTGATTATTTTATTTACTCTGATAGATGATCTAGTTTTGTTTCCTATTTATTGGTCACTGATTTATTTTTCACATGATACAAAATATAAAATTGTGAATTCACGTAAACGAATTTCAATCTACTATGAAACTCAAAAAAATAGTTTGTGTGAACTCTAAAGGGTTATGATCAAAGGGAAAGGTAGATGATATTTTGAACGTACCCTATTGGGTCAAAGGTTATGATAGCCGGAAAAGTAGACTATTAATCTATTGGACCAAGGGTTATAATCACATGGAATAGTTGACGAAATTTCACTATAAGTAGATTACAATCCCCATTGATTAGTATCATCCAAGTTTCTAAAGACAGAAATAAGCAACTAATTAAGTGTAAAAAGCGAAGAAGCAAAAGCTACAAAAATGGCAAAGACCCTTAATTCCATCTGCTTCACCGCTCTTCTGCTAGTTGTCTTGTTAATTTCCGCCGGTAATTTCGATTATAATCTTTACAAAAAAATCTCATTTCATATGCAAACATAAACTTATAAGTTTAAGAAACACTTTTCCTTGAACATATATTTACTTCTTTAATCTCAACATACTCAATGAATGGATGTTCAATATCTACAGAAATCCCGAAGAGCGAGGCTCAGGCTCAGTGTAACAGGTTTTTAGGCGAAGCCAGTGGGGTGAATCCGTGCACGAGAAGGGCTTGTGAAGCTAGATGCCCAATGCAGTACACCGGGTCATGCAGAGCAGCGTGTGAGGTTCATGACGGTGAACTGCATTGCCACTGCTATGCTCGTTAAGAAGATATTAAAAATTTCCAAATAAACTTGTACCGAATAAAAAAGAAATAAGGATGCAAGTGTGTGTTGTCTATTTTAAAATAAAATATTAGAACGATGGTAATGACTGCATCGTTTTAATAATAATAATAAAAAGTCGTTTCAATAATAATAAAGTCTTCTTTTGATTTTCGAACCATTTAGTGGATGAAAACATGCAATCTTGTCTTGATGATTTCAGTACATTCACAATATCATTTTTTTTTTATTGCAAACATACATCGAGCTCTCATTTTCTACGTACTGCTAGGTCATTTGCTCGAACGAATAATTGAGAAAAGTTCGGTAATGACTAATGATCAAAATAGATATATTTTTTGTTTATAGTAAAAATTAACAAAATGGATTTGAATATTCAAAAGAAAAAATGCAATAAGATAAAATTTGAGGGACCATTTGAAAAAAAAAAATTCAGGGATCATCTACAATATACCAAAATCGCAGGGCCATACAAAATTAAATAAATGTTCAACGAACATATGTAATAATTAATAAACAGTAATTCGATCGAGGAACATATGGAATAAACAATACTACAAGGAAAATGTTGTAATTTCAAATAAAATATTGGAATAAGCGGAGAGAGAGAGAAGATTACCTTATCCCTAAGACTTTCTCCTTATCCTCACGTATGTAACGTCCTTCCATCAGCTGCCATAGCCTCGCCTTAAGATAGAAGCGAACACAATGTTTGTAGCCTACTTCCATCGACTCTTCTCGTACGTCTTCTTAAATCTTTCTTTGAGAGCGACTTCCTCTCGTATATCCTCCGTACCAATGGTTATGATGGCGAAAGAGACAAGCCTACAGAGACCATATCACCGGGAAGATAGATGCGCTAAGGTTGCCTATCTTCATGTTTCGATTCTAGAAATCGCCAAAACCAAGCGAGTTTGATCGGAAACGAGTAAGCTTAGCTTTCTTATGAAAACGTAGTAGAATTTTCTTAACATCAAGACAAAAAAACGTTAAGTATGTAATGATCAATGCTCTTATGCTTTGGATTCTGAAAACTCTCGTACTTCATTCAATAGAAACTTGTGGCTTATATAGCCATTACAATAACTGAATACCGAAACTTAAGCAACAAGAACAGAGTAACAAACTTGATCCTAACAGAACCGTAATACTCGGTCCACTTATTTTGACCACTAACTTAGGACATGACTCGATCAGACTTGAAGTCTCCAACGGCTCCATTATTCGAATGACATTTGCTCCAACAAACCCTCCCTAAACTAAGCTTGGTGTTCAAAGCTTAGCTTATCTGCAACAGAGCAAATTCCCAACTTACTCCTCAAACCTTCAAACACATCTCGCTTCAATGCCTTGGTAAAAATGTCTGCAACTTGATCGCTTGTTCCACAATGCTCAAGACGTATTGCTCCTTCGTTGACCAAATCCCTTAAGAAATGAAAACGAACTCCTATGTGCTTACACCTTCCATGAAAGACTGGATTCTTTGACAACTTGATTGCAGAAGTATTGTCACACAGAATAACAGTGCTTTCTTCTCCATCGTATCCCAACTCCTTCAATACCCTCTTGAACCATATCGCTTGACAAGCACAAACTGAAGCAGCTACATACTCTGCCTCAGTTGTCGAGAGTGTGACGATCGGCTGCTTCTTGGACAACCATGCCACTGCTGCATCGTTCATGAGAAAGACATAACCTGAAGTGCTCTTTCTGCTCTCAACATCACCAGCAAAGTCACTATCAATATACACCAGAAGATTTCCATTTCCTTCTCTCTTGTACCAGATTCCGAAATCCATAGTACCTCTCAAATATCTCAGCACTCTCTTCACAGCTTGTAAATGTAGTTGAGTAGGTCTAGCCATGTAACGGCTCAGAAGACTTACAGAAAACTGCAGGTCAGGTCTGGTGGTGGTAATGTACATGAGACTTCCTATTATCTGCTTGTAGAAAGTCTCATCTACTCTTTCTCCTTCCTCGTCCATATCAAGCTTGCTTCCTGGCACCATTGGATTGTAAACAGCGTTGCAATCCTCCATGTTGAAACGTTTTAGAACTTCAAGAGCATACTTTCCTTGAGAGATATGAATCCCACGAGTTGTTTGCAGGACTTCAATTCCCAGGAAATATCTCATCTTGCCTAGATCAGTCATGTCGAACTCTCTCTGCATCGACTTCTTAAACTCCTCCATCATGCTAACATTATCTCCAGTGTAGATTAGATCATCAACATAAACGCTAACAAGGAGAATGTCACCATGTTTGTTGCCTTTGAGGAACAAGGTTTCTTCATTCTGCGACTTCTTGAATCCCTCCTTGATAAAGTATTCCTCTATCCGACTGAACCAGGTCCTTGGAGCTTGTTTTAAGCCATACAAGGCTTTGTGAAGCTTGTATACTTTTTCTTCTTCTCCTCTGATCACATACCCCTTCGGCTGTTGTATGTAAACATCTTCCATAAGAACTCCATGGAGAAACGCTGATTTGACATCTAGTTGGTAGATGACCCAAGCTTTGCGTGCTGCTGTTGAGAGAATCATTTTGATGGTATCCATTCTCGCAACAGGAGCATAGACTTCATTGTAGTCGATTCCATGCTCTTGACAGTACCCCTTCGCTACCAAGCGAGCCTTGAACTTGGTCACTTCTCCAAGCTCAATGAGCTTTGTCTTGTAGATCCATTTCACTCCAATGCACTTAGCTCCTTTTGGTAACTCTGCAAGCTCCCAAGTTTGGTTTTTCTCGATTGATTTGATTTCTTCATCCATCGCTTCTCTCCACTTGAGATGTTTTTCTGCTTCTTCAAACGTCGATGGATCAGATGAGTTAATCACGACCATATTAACCTCATCTTCCTCATCCTCGATCTCATCTCCAGCAACATAGTCACTCAAATGGCGAGGAGGCCTTCTGATTCTTCCCTCCCTGACTATAGCTTGCTGTTGTGGTTGAGCTTCTTCTGCAGTTTCTGCAGGTTCTTCTACTTCTGCTGTAGGCTCCTCTGCTTCACCATCAGATTCTTCATCACTCTCTTCCCATGAAGCATCGTCATCATTCCAGGTGAGTTCTTCATTCTGTTTCTGATCTTCTTCCCAATCCCACTCTCTTGTTTCCTCAAAAACCACATCTCTGCTTACAATGATTTTCTTGGTTTTCGGATTGTAAAGACGATATCCCTTCGACTCTTCAGAAAAACCAAGAAGAATGCAAGCAGTGCTCTTGTCATCGAGCTTGCTTCGTTTCTCATCTGGAATATGGGCATGAGCGATGCTTCCCCAAACCTTGAAATGTTCCACACTTGGCTTGATCCCGCTCCAGGCTTCTTGTGGTGTAATGTTCTTCACGGCCAAGGTGGGACATCTGTTTAGGACATAGAACGTCCAGCTCACAGCTTCTGCCCAAAAGCTCTTTGGCATCTTCCTAGCTGAGAGCATGCATCTGACCATATTCATCACAGTGCGGTTCTTCCTCTCTGCAATGCCGTTCTGCTGCGGTGTATAGGCCGTGGTCATCTGTCTTCGAATTCCGTGCTCCTTACAGAACTCAGAGAACTCATGAGAGGTGTACTCTCCACCCCGATCGGTTCTTAGGCTCTTGATGGCTTTCCCTGTCTCAGTCTCCACCTTCTTCTTGAATAGCTTGAATGAGCTAAAAGTTTCAGATTTCTCTGATAAGAAATACACCCATGACTTTCTGCTGTAGTCATCGATGAAAGTCAGGATATATCTCTTCCCACTTGTGGTCATTGGACTTATAGGACCACAAATGTCAGAGTGTAGCATCTCCAGAACTCCCTTAGCTCTCCAGCTACTTCTTTTGGGAATGCTACTTCTCGGTTGCTTTCCCACCAAGCAATCTGAGCAGGTGAACGTTTGTATATCAAAGACTGGAAGGCCACGTACCATGTTCTTGCTCTGAAGCGTCTTCATCCCACGGTGACTCAGATGGCCGTATCTCTCATGCCAAAGCTTTGGCAAATCTTCTGAAATGGACTGGAGGCATTGTTGGTGTCTCGTTTCTCCTTCTCCATTGCCTTCATCGATCAACATAAACAGAATGTTTATGCTCATCTTGCTTTCTGCAATCAGACCCTTATCATCATGATAAATCTTGCAAGCACCTCTTCTTATGATGATAGTGAGCTCCTTCTCTTGTAGTTGTCCGAGACTCAACAAGTTGTTCTTGAGCTCCGGGACATAGTATACATCACTGATCGAGTATACTATGTCATTCAAGACAAGTTTCACACTTCCCTTTGCAACGACCTCCATTCTCTTATCATTACCGAGCTTCACTGAATGTTTGAAGTTTACATTCAGTGATGAGAACAGCTCTCGATCTCCACTCATGTGATTTGAGCAGCCGGAATCAAGAAACCAAGACCTTCTCCTTCAGCTTTCTTGATTTCCAGAATACGTCATCAGCAAGAGCTCTGCTTTTGCTTCCAAATCTTCAGGTTCTTCTCCTTCTTCAGTGTAAGCCATCAACAGTATTTCTTCTCTCTCCTCTTCTGCATAGTTTGCCTCTTCATCCCACTTTGGACATTCGTTTTTGAAATGTCCAAGTTTGTGGCACTTGTAGCACTCCACTGTGCTTTTGTCCGGGAACGATCTGCCTCGACCACCTCGTCCTCTTCCTCGACCACTTGATCCCCTTCCTCGAGATCCCATTCCTCGTCCGTAAGTGACCTTCAAGACTTGATCGTCGCTCCTCTCCGATCTCTTGAACTTCTGTTCATGAACGATCAATGAACTCTGCAATTCATCAAGGGTAATGCTCTCAATGTCCTTCGATTCTTCTATGGATACCACCATGTACATGAACTTCTCACTGAGGGTTCTGAGAATCTTCTCCACCACCTTTGATTCATCCATGGATTCACCATTGCTTCTCATCTGATTGGTGATGGCTAGCACACGCTTGAAGTATTCCTCCACCTTCTCTGTTTCGCTCATCTCCAAAACTTCAAAATCTCTTCTCAGCTTTTGAAGCAGAGACTTCTTCACTCGTTCGTTTCCTCCGAACTTCCTCTTCATGGACTCCCAAATGACCTTGGAGGACCTCCTGTCCTGGATCTGCTCAATCGTTACCCTATCGATGGATTGATAGAGGTAATGCTTCACCTTGTGGTCATTTGTTTTGGCGTCGTCTAGCCGTCCCCTCTGCTCTTCGGTTAACACGGTTGTGTTCGTCGGCTCTACGAACCCGTTCTCCACCAAGCTCCACAGTCCATTTGCTCTGAAAAAGTTCTCCATGACTTCATTCCAGTGGTCCCAATGACCCTCGAACTGAGGCAGCTTCATCTTATCATCACCCATTTCTCTCCCCTTTTTCTGTGTTCTCACGAAAAAATCCAACAGAGCTCTGATACCAATTTGTAATGATCAATGCTCTTATGCTTTGGATTCTGAAAACTCTCGTACTTCATTCAATAGAAACTTGTGGCTTATATAGCCATTACAATAACTGAATACCGAAACTTAAGCAACAAGAACAGAGTAACAAACTTGATCCTAACAGAACCGTAATACTCGGTCCACTTATTTTGACCACTAACTTAGGACATGACTCGATCAGACTTGAAGTCTCCAACGGCTCCATTATTCGAATGACATTTGCTCCAACAAAGTATAATAGGACGATCGATGATAAACGATAGAGTTAGACGTCTAGTTACACGGTTAATATAATTCATTTTTTTTTTTTTTTTTTTTTTGTCTAAAAAGTAAAAACATATATATAGGTTTTACAAAGTAAAGTTGTTAATGATCTTATTAACGATGCATTATGAAGAACCTCCCTAACATTATTTGCTTAAACTAGCTGATAAGCAATTTTGTTTTTATCCCATTATTGATAGATGAAAGTAGCCGCATGGTTTTTTAGTCTAGTTTCCGTAGTTGCAGATTCAGAAACAAAACCAAAAAGAAGGAAGGCTATCGTGATCCAAACCCAAAGAAGGAAGCCTTATGCCACTTTGAAGCGATACTTCTTGCTGACAATATTGACCTAGTATATCCCATTGATCTCAAAAGTAGAATCATCAACGACATTGATGCTTCCCTTGAGTTTTTCATGAGTAGAATCAACATACAAGCCTGTCAAATAGGGGGATAGAAGATCCACATCAAGTTACAAAACAAGAAATTTGTTCACTGGAAAAAAAAGACTAGCATATGGTGCATCTTTTAGGGTTTTCTAAAATTATATATACCAGGTTCAAGGCAAGCAAGAATATAAATTATTGTTAGGCTTCTTTGTGAGTTGTTTCATGTTGATGTTTAAATGTTTTCCATGTTATTTTATTTATTTTTATAGATGATCTAATTTTTTTCCTATTTTTTGGTCGCTGATTTATTTTTCACGTGCGTAAATTGTATTCACGTAAACTCGAGTTTTCATATAATGAAACTACACAAAAAAAATAGGTTGTGTGAACTCTAAAAAGGGTTATGATCAAAGACAAAAGTCGATGCTATATTGCGTGTACCCTTTTGCGTCTAATGGTTATAATCATAGCCGGAAAAGTAGACTATTAATCTATTGAACCAAGGGTTATAATCACATGGAATAGTCGACGATATTGTACTATAAGTAGATTACGATCCTCATTGATTAGTATCATCCAAGTTTTTAAAGACAGAACTAAGCAACTCACTAAGTGTAAAAAGAGAAAAAGCAAAAGCTACAAAAATGGCAAAGACCCTCAATTCCATCTGCTTCACCGCTCTTCTGCTCGTTGTCTTGTTGATTTCCACTGGTAATTTCGATTATAATCTTTACAAAAGAATCTCATTCTCATATGCTAACAGAAATTTACAAGTTTAAGAAACACATTTCGTTGAACATATATTTACTTCTTTAATCTCAACATACTCAATGAATGGATGTGTAATATCTACAGAAATCCCGAAGAGCGAGGCTCAAGCTTGTGACAGGTTTTTAGGCGAAGCCAGTGGAGTGAATCCATGCACTGCAAGAGGTTGTCAAGCCAGATGCCCAGTGCAGTACCCTGTGTCATGCAGATCAGCGTGTGAGGTTCATGACGGTGAACTGCATTGCCATTGCTTTGGTCGTTAAGAAGATACTGAAATTTGCAAATAAACTTGTACCAAATAAAAAAGAAGTAAGATTGTAAGGGTGTGTTGTTTGTCTTGAAATAAAATATTAGAACGATGCTAATGATTGCATCGTTTTGATAATAATAAAGTCGTTTCAATAATAATAAAGTCTTGTTTTGTCTACGTTGTTTTGATTTTCGAACTATAGTGGATGAAAACATGCAATCTTGTCTTGATGATTTCAGTACATTCACAATATCATTTTTTATTGCAAACATATATCAAGCTCTAATTTTCTACGTACTGCTAGGTCATTTGCTCAAACGAATAATTGAGGAAAATTCGATAATGACTAATGCTGAAGAGAGATATTTTTTATTTGTCGTAGAAATAAACGAAAATGGATTTGAATATTCATAAGAAAAGATGCAATAAGGTAAAATTTGAGGGACCATCTGAAAAAAACAAAATTTCAGGGATCATGTACAATATACAAAAATCGAAGGGCCATATAAAATTAAATAAATGTTCAACGAACATATGTAATAAACAGTAATTCGAGGAACATATGGAATTAACAATACTACAAGGAAAATGTTGTAATTTCTCAAAAAAAACGGAACCCCTAAGCGGGGAGAGAGAAGATTGTACCTTATCCCAAGAGTTTCTTTGTATCCTCAGACTCACGTATCAGTAATGTCCTGCCATAGCCTCGCTCTAAGATAGAAGCGAACACAATGTTTGGAGCCTACTTCCATCGACTCTGACTCGTCTTCTTAAATCTTTCTTTGAGAGCGACTTCGTCTCGCAAATCCTCCGCACCAATGGCGATGATGGCGAAAGAGACAAGCCTAAAGAGACCATATCACCGGGAAAATAGATGCGTTAAGGTTGTCTATCTTCATGTTTCGATTCCAGAAATCGCCAAAACCAAGCGAGTTTGATCGAAAACGAGTAAGCTTAGCTTTTTTATGAAAACGTAGTAGAATAGGACAATGATAAACGATAGAGCTAGACGTTTAGTCACACGGTTTATCGTTTATATAATAAAACTAGAACTTTCACCCGCGCAGGCGCGGGTCTGTATCTTAAATCCATTTAATATATATTTTTAAAGAATAATTAGTAATATATTTATATCTAAAGAAGAACAAAAAGCCTAACCAAATATATCTTTAATTTATGACCTATTATGTCGTGTTAATCATTTTCTAAACAGAAATATATTTTTAAATATGTATAGTCAAATTTTTAAAATTAGATGTCAACAATATTTCTATATAACATGATGTTTATTTTAAATAATTTCAATTCTTTATATTAGAACTTAAAATGCTATAAACAATATATATAATTTATTTTTCTGTACATTTAACTACACATAATGTTATTAGTTTATAAACTTTGATCATAATAATATATATTTAGCTTTTATATAATATCAATTATGTATATTTCTTTTTTATGGCTTAAAGAAAATGTTAAATCATTGTGTGTTCAATGTTGATTTTTTTTTAGTAATTTTTTCACATTTTTTATGCAATATGGTATACATTTCTTCTTAAAAGTAATTTTATATTACTGTTTATTTGAATATTTCTGCCTTAAATCTGTTTATAAATACATTCTTGTTCAAAAAATTTGTTAGTTACATATTTTTTTTAGAAATTGCAAAAAATGGGTTATTGTTTATTTAGTTGCAAAAATGGTTATTAACTCAACTCATATCATGTTTTTAATCAAATCGAGTAATCATATTTGGCAAGCTTATATTCACCAAAAATGAAATGGAATTTAATGGCAAAAGTTTTGTCTTGGCCGATCAAACTCAGACTGCTCATGAAATTGATACACCTAATATATTAAAATATGATTTATCGAAAGTATTATTGATATATTCTCCAGTTTTCAATCGTTATTAGTTGATATTTTAAATTTGAGGTTGTCATTTCACAATGGACTATATTAGATACTACTTGATAAATCATAATTTGGTTTATCATTCTCATAATTTTCAATCATTTATGAAACTTAAAATTTCCTACATGTTCAACTTGACTATAATAAACCAACTTATGATTTATAGTTAATCACAACCAAATTTGGTATTACCTTGTGAGGAAACGAAAACCTCATAAAGCTTGTTTAATATCCTGAGAATATTAATTTCCTGCCTAGGTTTCTCGAATAACTTTGTAAACATGGTGATTATTGTCTAATAACGGTTAGTATTTTCACCATTCTTTTACTAATATATGCGGTAGCCTCTCAATATTAGAACTAACCTTTTTTCAGTTTCCAAAAAAGTTGCAACAACATGGTGAAGTTAATCCATTAAAATTTTGTACATAAAAAGTCTAGTTAAATTTGTAAGTGAAAATGTCAAATAATTAATGTCAGATGAAAGATTACAGTGCAAAATAAATTTCCAGAGTTGTGTGGATAGACCCAGTTAATATTCTATATATGCCAGTAGCAAACTGTTAATATGTAAACGTCTATAGTTCAAAAAATATGACAATGGAAGAAGCATGAAGAAAAGGAAGATGGATATAACATGAATACAATTAAAAACCAAAAGACTCACAGATTATAGAGACACCTCATCAAATCAAGATAATGTTAGTTTACCGAGAGTACTGAAAATTTGGAGAACCAAGTATAACACTTAGACCTACAAAAAGAAAGAAAAATTAAATAAGTAATGATGCAAGATGGACTTAGTTAGCTATATTGAAGGCATGTGTTACGATAAGAGATGAATCAACAATACCTTTTCTGCAAATTATATACTTCTTCGTTTCTTTCGTGCTTTGTTCTTCATCTTCGCTCCTCATCTTCTTATTATTCAGCTTATTTTTGTCTATTTCAGTTTTTCTTTCTGTTTTTCAATTTTTTTTTCTCATTCATCTGCTTCATCTTTAGAGGTAATTTAAACATTCTCCAAGAATTGAAAAAATTAGAAAAAGCTTGCTATGAGCTGAGATTGCAGGCGACGAAGAAGAAATCAAAGCTACTTCTTATCTAGCTACATAATAGTTAGGGTTTATAATGTTTAGCTGACTCTAACTAATTTAAATTGAAATTTTTATTTTATAGAAATTTACATTTTACTTTTTTTTCCTTTTTGTTAACGTGTTATGGTTTTTATTTTTAAAGATTGAAATTAAAGAGTTTGTATCAAATAAAAAACATATAGGGATATATAGGAAAATTTTCAATTATACATTTTCTATCAAATTATTAATAGAAACATATATATACTTTTATCTACATTACCTTTTATCTATTTATATTACAATTTTAAAATTTGGATAATTTCTTTATTTTGTATATGCTTATGTGGATCAATAAGATTGATTTTTTTAATCCTAAGTGGACGCCCTCAATGGCTTATAGCCTCAACTTTTAAAATTTGGAAAATTACCTAATCTTGTAGATGCTTATTTGGACCAATAAAATCATGTTTTTAAATCATATGATGATGTGGATTGATACTATTGGTTGTCTAAAATTTGGAAAATTTCTTAATATTAGATGATGATATGGAATGATACAATTAGTTGTTAAAATTTGGAAGATTTCTTAATCTTAAAAGTGCCTATGTGAACCAATAAGATTGCGTCTTAAAATCCTATGTGGACGCTCTTAGAAGCTTATAGCCTCAACTTTTATATAGTATAGATTTAATTTTTTTTGTCTAAAAAGTAAAAACATATAGGTTTTACAAAGTAAAGTTTTAGATGATCTTATTAAGCACGGGAAAAGCTAACGATGCACTACAAATTAAAGAACCTCCCTAACATTATTTGCTTAAACTGGTTGATAAGCAATTTTGTTTTTAGTAAAAGAAATTTGTATCCCATTATTGATAGACGAAAGTAGTCGCAGTTTCTATCAATTTTGCTAATATTTGTAGGTTAACACCTACAAGTTTTTATAAATTTTGAAAAAAAATTAGAATAATATAGTTTTAGTCTTTCTCACATACTCTTTCACTATGGAAAATGATTGGATCAATTTGATTTCTAAACATCTTCCAATTTTTAATTTAAAAAACCTCAAAATTTATCAGTTTTGCCAATATTTGTAGGCTAACACCTACGAATGTTTGCAAATTTTGGAAAAAATGGAATAATATGTTTTTAGTCTTTCTCACATACTCTTTCACTATGAAAAATGGCTGGATCAATTTGGTTTCAATTTAGACACTTTCCAATCATTAATTTAGAAAAACCTCAAAATTTATCAATTTTGCTAACATTTGTGGGCTAACACCTACGAATTTTTGCAAATTTTGAAAAAATTGGAGTAATATGTTTTTAATCTTTCTCACATACTCTTTTACTATGAAAAATGGGTGGATCAATTTGGTTTCATTTTAGACACCTTCCATTCATTAATATAGAAAAACCTCCAAATTTATCAATTTTACCAATATTTGTGGGCTAACACCTGTGAATTTTTGCAAATTTTGAATAAAATGGAGTAATATGTTTTTAATCTTTCTCACGTACTCTTTCACTATGAAAAATGGGTGGATCAATTTGGTTTCATTTTAGACATCTTTCAATCATTAATATATAAAAACCTCAAAATTTATCAATTTTACCAATATTTGTGGGCTAACACCTGCAAATTTTTGCAAATTTTGAAAAAATTGGAGTAATATGTTTTTAGTCTTTCTCACATACTCTTTCACTATGAGAAATGGGTGGATCAATTTAGTTTCACTTTAGACACCTTCCAATTATTAATATAGAAAAACCTCAAAATTTATGAATTTTGCCAATATTTGTTGGCTAACACCTACAAATTTTTGCAAATTTTGAGAAAATTGGAAAAATATGTTTTTAGTCTGTCTCACATACTCTTTCACTATGAAAAATGGGTGGATCAATTTGGTTTTACTTTACTTTAGACACTTTCCAAACATTAATATAGAAAAACCTCAAAATTTATGAATTTTGCCAATATTTGTGGGCTAACACCTACAAATTTTTGCAAATTTTGAAAAAATTGGAGTAATATGTTTTTAGTCTTTCTCACATACTATTTCACTATGAAAAATGGCTAGATCCGGTTGGTTTCAATTTTGACACCTTCCAATCATTAATTTAGAAAAATCTCAAAATTTATGAATTTTGCCAATATTTGTGGGCTAACACCTACAAATTTTTGCAAATTTTAAAAAAAAATTGGAATAATATGTTTTTAGTCTTTCTCACATACTCTTTCACTATGAAAAATGGCTGGATCAATTTGTTTTCACTTTAGACACTTTCCAATCATTAATTTAGAAAAACCTCAAAATTTATCGATTTTGCCAATATTTGTGGGCTAGCACCTACAATATTTTTTGAAAAATTGGAATAATATGTTATTAGTATTTGTTAGATACTCTTTTACCATGAAAAATGGCAGGAACAATTTATTTTGACTATAGACACCTTCCAATCATTAATTTAGAAAAATCTCATTCTTCTTTTTAATAAATCTTACCAATATTTGTGAGCTAACAACACCTACGAGTTTTTACATTTTAAAAAAAAATTAGAATAATATGTTTTTTGGCTTTCTCACATACTTTTTTACTATGAAAAAATGGTTGGATCAATTTACTCACTTTAGATACCTTCCAATCATTAATTTAGATAAACCTTACTTTTTTTTTTTTCAATTTTGATTATGGGCTAACACCTATGGTTTTTACAAATTTAGAAAAAATGGAATAATATGTTAGTAGTCTTTCTTAGATACTATTTTATTATGAAAAATTGTTAGATTAATTTATTTTTATTTTAAATGCCTTCTAATCATTAATTTAGAAAAGCTTCAAAATATATCGAAACCAAAAGAAGTAAGACTTATGCCTGAAGTGATACTTCTTGCTGACCGACCTAGTTTATCCCATTGATCTCAAAAGTAGAATCACCAAGGGCATTGATGATCTCAAAAGTAGAATCACCAACATGCAAGCCTGTCAAATAGGGGGATAGAAGATCCACATCAAGTTACAAAACAAGACATGTGTTCACTGGAAAAAGGAGACTAGCATATGGTGCATCTTTTAGGATTTTCTCAAACTATATATACCAGGTTCAAGGCAAGCAAGAATATAAATTATTGTTCGGCTTCTTTGTGAGTTGTTTCATGTTGATGTTTAAATGTTTTCCATGTTATTTTATTTATTTTTATAGATGATCCAATTTTGTTTCCTACTTTTTGGTCACTGATTTATTTTCCACGTGCGTAAATTGTATTCACTTAATTAAACTCGAGTTTTCATATAATAATATAAAATAAATCATATAATGAAACTACAAAAAAATAGTTTGTGTGAACTCTAAAAAGGGTTATAATCAAAGAGAAAAGTAGATGATATATTGCGTGTACCCTTTTGCGTCAATGGCTGTAATCATAGCCGGAAAAGTAGACTATTAATCTATTGAACCAAGGGTTATAATCACATGGAATAGTCGACGATATTGTACTATAAGTAGATTACGATCCTCATTGATTAGTATCATCCAAGTTTTTAAAGACAGAACTAAGCAACTCACTAAGTGTAAAAAGAGAAGAAGCAAAAGCTACAAAAAATGGCAAAGACCCTCAATTCCATCTGCTTCACCGCTCTTCTGCTCGTTGTCTTGTTGATTTCCGCCGGTAATTTCGATTATAATCTTTACAAAAAAAATCTCATTTTATATGCAAACAGAAATTTACAAGTTTAAGAAACACATTTCCTTGAACATATATTTACTTCTTTGACCTTAACGTACTCAATGAATGGATGTTTGATATCTACAGAAATCCCGAAGAGCGAGGCTCAAGGTTGTAACAGGTTTTTAGGCGAAGCCAGTGGAGTGAATCCATGCACGGCAGGCGCTTGTCAAGCTAGATGCCCAGTGCAGTACCCCGTGTCATGCAGATCAGCGTGTGAGGTTCATGACGGTGAACTGCATTGTCACTGCTTTGCTCGTTAAGAAAGATACTGAAATTTGCAAATCAACTTGTACCGAATAAATAAGAAATAAGGATGTAACTATGTAAGTGTGTGTGGTTTCTTTCGATTTAAGCGTGTGTTGTTTGTCTTGAAATAAAATATTAGAACGATGCTAATGATTGCATCGTTTTAATAATAGTAAAGTCGTTTCAATAATAATAAAGTCTTATTTTGTCTATACGTTCTTTTGATTTTCGGATGAAAACATGCAATCTTGTCTTGATGATTTCAGTACATTCACAAATATAATATTATTTTTTATGCAGTCTAATTTTATACGTACCGCTAGGTCATTTACTCAGACGGAGAATTGAGAAAAGTTCGATAATGACTAATGATCAAGAGAGATATTTTTTTACCGTAGAAATGAACGAAAATGGATTTGACTATTCATAAGGAAAGATGCTATAAGATAAAATTCGAGGGATCATCTGAAAATAAAAAACTTTCCAGGGATCATCTACAATATACTAAAATCGCAGGGCCATATATATGAAATCACAGTAATCAATTCGAGAAACATATGGAATAAACAATACTGCAAGCAAAATGTTATAATTTCACTAAAAATATCGGAACAAGCGGAGAGAAAGAAGATGGTATATTACCAAGAGTTTCTCCTTATCCTCAAACTCACGTATATTGCGTGTACTCTCTTGCGTCAAAGGTTATGACCATAGCCGGAAAAGTAGACTATTAATCTATTGGACCGATCTAGGGTTATAATCACATGGAATGGAATAGTCGACGATATTTCACTATAAGTAGATTACAATCCCCATTGATTAGTAGTATATCATCCAAGTTTCTAAAAACCAGAAATAAGCAACTCATTAAGTGAAGAAAGAAGCAAAAGCTACAAAAAATGGCAAAGACCCTCAATTCCATCTGCTTCACCGCTCTTCTGCTCGTTGTCTTGTTGATTTCCGCCGGTAATTTCCATTATAACCTTTACAAAAAAAAATCTCATTTCATATGCAAACATAAATTTATAAGTTTATAAGAAACATATATTTCCTTGGTTTTATATTTACTTCTTTAATCTCAATGAATGGAACGTTGAATAATATCTTCAGAAATCCCGAAGAGCGAGGCTCAGCCTTGTAACAGGTTTTTAGGCGAAGGCGCAGTGGCGAATCCATGCACGAACAGCGCCTGTCAAACTAGATGCCCAGTGCAGTACCGCGGCTCATGCAGAGCAACGTGTGAGCCTCACGACGGTGAACTGCATTGCCATTGCTATGCTAGATAATAAGATACTGAAATTTACACAAAAACTTGTATCGAATAAAAAAGAAGTAAGAATGTAAATGTGTGGTTTCTTTCGATTTAAGTGTGTGTGTGTTGTCTGTCTTAAAATAATGACTCTACCGTTTTAATAATAATAAAGTCGTTTCAATAATTATTTAGTCTTGTTTTATACATGCAATGTTGTCTTGATGAATGCCGTATCACTTTTTATCGTAAACAAATATGGAGCTGTTGATCCAAATTAAAAGCATATTCGATCTACTTAAGGTGTTTCAAAATACACGGCTTAAGATAAATTTTCAGTCACGTCTCACGTGGCAGAGCAGCCGATGGAAGCTTTGTGAGGATGAAGTTTCGGTGGTGCGTTGATGACGTTAGCTGAGTGACGTGGTCCAAGAAACATCGCATGCTTGCCACGGCTTCCTTGTAATCCAGCAATACACACATGTTCGTCGTTTATTATTTCAAAAACGTGTATTCTCGTTGTCCTTTTGTTGAGCTTCTTCAATGAAATGAAGTGACGACAGAAAAACTTAATAGATTAAGAGAGAGAAATATTTTGTTTATCGTAGAAACAAAAATAGATCTGAATATTCATAAGATAATCTACGAGAAGATAAAGTTGAGGGATCATCTGGAAATAAATAATTTTTACAGGATCATGTACAATAAACCAAAATGGTAGGGCCATATGAAATAAAATAAAAAATGTCAGGGACTATCTGCAGTAAACAATTTTCAGGGCCATATGCAATAAAATAAATGTTCAATGAACATATGGAATAAACAATACTGCAAGGAAAATGTTGTAATTTCACTTAAAATATCGGAACAAGCGGAGAGAGAGAAGATTACCTTATCCCAAGAGTTTTCTCCTTATCCTCACACTCCACTCACGTATGCTTGGAGTCTACTACCATAGACTCTGGAATCGTCTTCTTAAATCTTTCTTTGGGAGCAACTTCGTCTCGTAAATCCTCCGCACCAGTGGTGATGATGGCGAAGAGACGAGCTTAAAGAGACCAGACACCATGAAGATAGATGCTAAAGCCTACAGGATGTCCATCTTCATGCTTCGATTCCATAAATCGCCAAAAGCAAAGCGATTTTCGTCCAAAACGAGTAAGCTTTCTTATGAAAACGTAGTAGAAGAGGAAGATAAACCATAGGGTTAGGTGCTTAGTTACACGATTAATCTAATTTAATGTAACTTTTCATGTCCAAAAAACTATAGGTTTATGTGAAGTGGTTAATGAATAATGATATGATCTGATTATAACATAAAGCACGGGCTAATCCCAAACAATTTTTTGCTTATACTGACTGATAAGCTAATTTTGGTTTTTAGTACAACAAATCTTTATCCCATTATTGATAGATGAAAGTGGTCGCATGGTTTTTAGTCTTTTAGACCAAATATACTTTTAGTTTACTGAAACAAAACAAAAAAGAAGGCAGGCTCGTGATCGATCCAAATCAAACCCCCTAAAAGATCTAGCACCTAAGAGAACCGAACCAATCCAAACCAAAGCCATGTGCTCAAGCTTGTTTGTGTCTTTAGTGGCTCGCTGCTACCAAAGCCATGTGCTCGATAAGGTCAAGCACTCGGTTGCTGTAAGTAAAATGGGAGAGGAACTGTTAGTGTTTGAGAACTGGTGGCTATATATCTAATGGCGTACATGAATATGAACAAACGAGAAAGTGTACCTGTAACCCCATTCATTGTCGTACCAAGAGACAAGTTTGACAAAGGACTTGCTCAATCCAATTCCGGCGTTGGCATCAAAGATGCTTGACCTGCAATAACAAAACAATCGACATCAACACATTGATAAACCACACAAGGCAAGACTCCTCTGGATAGCTTTGAAGGAAAAGAAGAGAGAGACCGACCTTGAATCACCCACGAAGTCATTGGAGACGACATCTTCATCTGTGTACCCGAGAATGCCTTTGAGAGGTCCTTCTGAGGCAAACCTATTAGAGGTTTTAAATTTACACAAACCAGTTGAGGTTACTCATGACATAGAAACATTTTGATGAGGAAAGCGGATTTGTTAAGAAAGTTTTGGGAAGCATACTTAATGGCAGCTTTAACATCCTCGTAAGAGGCACCCTTCTCAAGTCGACAAGTTAAATCCACAACGGAAACATTCGGTGTTGGTACACGGAAGGCCATTCCCGTAAGTTTCCCATTCAGTTCTGGAAGAACTTTACCTACAGCCTATATCGACCATAAAAAACCACAGCTCAAGATATGATACCAGATTTGAGATAATTACATACTTTGTAGATAATAACCATAATATGTTTCTGTACCTTTGCAGCGCCGGTTGAGCTGGGAATGATGTTTTGACTGGCGCCTCGGCCTCCTCTCCAGTCCTTACCCGATGGTCCATCAACAGTTTTCTGAGTAGCTGAATATGAAAAGAAAAGATAAACCAACAGAGTGTTATGCGGTTATCTACAAATATACAGTGATGTATAGCAGGAGAGTAAGGAATTTAGACCTGTGGTTGCGTGGACAGTTGTCATCAAGCCTTCAAGAATACCAAACTCCTCATGCACAACCTGCCAAATACAGTTTGGTTGACCTTAATGAAGATCTTAGCAGTGTCTGGTTTAAGGGTAAAATCAAGGATAAATGAGGGATGAGATCGTCGTGCAACATTACCAACCTTGGCAAGAGGTGCAAGACAATTGGTGGTACAACTTGCATTGGAGACTATATCCATGTTTGGTTTGTATGTTTTCTCATTCACCCCAACAACAAACATGGGTGCATCGGCTGAAGGTGCAGAAATGATTACTTTCTTTGCACCACCCTGCAAAACCAATGAAATATCAAGCAAAAGCATATTTGAATTGAATGTTATCACAAGATAAGAGGTCAACATTGTATGTTTGTACGAAAATTCACCTTCAAATGGGATGCAGCCTTTCCCAGGGTGGTGAACACACCTGAAGACTCAACAACATAGTCTGCTCCAAGATCAGCCCATGGGATCTCAGCTGGATCTCTGAAGACGAATAAAAAAGTATTTGAGTTCTAAACTGAGATAGCGTTAGCGTGTTCTCTGATCTGCAGAAAAAAAAACAAGCCACTTTGAAGTGATACCTCTTGCTGACAACATTGACTTTCTTCCCGTTGATCTCTAGAGTAGAATCATCAATGACATTGATGGTTCCCTTGAAATTTCCATGAGTAGAATCATACTTCAACATGTAAGCCTGTCAAATAGGGGGACAGAAGATTTGTTTGAAAAGCAGACATTTGTTCACTGGAAAAGAAGACTAACATATGATGCAATCTTTCAAAAGGTTTTCTCAAACAATATCAGGTCCAAGCAAGCAAGAGAGTAGCTAAAATTAAGAACAGAGTATAAATAGCGCTTCAAGAAATACCCTGATAAAAGTAACCAGCTAGAAGACATCCTTACCATGTACTTGGCATCAATGAATGGATCATTCACGGCTACAACCTCAATATCATCCCTGGATGTTGCAATCCGGAGGACCAACCTTCCAATTCGACCAAAACCTGCGGCATTCATAGCAAAGATAAAAGAGCTTTTTATCAGAAACGAAAAAATTGGGGACTCAGAGAATATTCTGAAGGGAGTAAATGATGATCTGGGACTTCAAACGAATCCATCAGTCAATTAAAAGCACATACCATTGATCCCAACTTTTGTCTTTCCGCTGCTACCTGACCCTACTCGAGCCAAATCAAATCCACCAATAAGCACACAGCAACCAAACACATCTACACTGAAGTAGATTTGTTTCTACTTACTTTGAACTGCAGGTGGCACTTGCGTAGCTGTGGCCTTGATGGGTTGCACACTTCTTGCCTTGCATATTCTATACATTTGGACACACAAAAATCCATTTAGAATCGAAAAATTGCATTATACAATTCACATGTGTTACAGAGTTAAGTCACAGAACTGTAGAGATGAAGATGGCCCAGTAGTAATGGCAGCACCAGAAAATCTTGATGATGTGAAGCTACGACTAAATCCAAGACTGGAAGACACCTGAGTATTTGAAACAAAGAGTAAATACAAAAAAACGTAGCAACTCCAAAAATTTAAGCATATAATTAGCTTCCAGCCAATTATTAAATTAAACTAATCTCATAATCTGATCAGATACCAAACAAATATGCCATTAGATATTGTAAACGACGAACAAATAAGATTTCAAACCGCAATTCATTTCAACAAATGCGAGAACGCAACAAGGATAGCAAAAAAAGGATTCACGTCACCATCACACTTTGAGAAACTCAGAACAAAACTACTTCTTCGACGAAATAACCAAAGGCGCGTAAATGCGAAATTCAAGTAGAGAAAAGCACGACCTAAGCTAAAGCAAAATCAAATCAAGCAGAAACACGAGAGAATCATAAACGAAACTAATAGCGACGAGAAAAGGCTAAACGAGGTCTCTGACCTTAGCATGATCAATCGCCGGCGAGGAGAAAAAGTCAGCGCGAGGAGCAGCGACGGCAGATCTGACGAGAGAAGAGGAAGCCATTGATTTGCTGCTGGAGAAACAAAGAGATCTCGTCGGTCAAAAACCCTAAAACCTTTCGTTGGCTTATGGGAGTAGGTGTAGAGCCAACAAAAACGTGAAGAATCCAATTTGTTCGCAGAGTATCTCCTTTTTTCCCTATATAAAATGGTTTTGGAAATGCACTCTTTGGTCTACTCTAACGGAGCTTTTTAGGAATATATAAATGTGTGCAGACGACACTCTGTTGCTATAAAATTGATGGGTCACGATCCGGTGCATCACACCTATACTATAAGGATACAACTATGGACTAATGCAATTTATTGTTGTTGTCAACGAATTAATGCAACTATAGTAAGAAATGTAAATGGTTTATATGGTTTTTCATAACGTCGATTTAAATTTAATAAAATCGACATTCGACAGCTGATTTTTGCATATTTAAATTGATACAGTTTTAGATTAATGGTTCAAAATGATGTTAAACTTAAAACACACAAAATGGTGGTAAATTAATCAATGGTTGAGATTTGATTCATTTGGACGTGAAACACTGAGACACGTGTAGTGGAAACAAGGATTTAGGCCTATGATTGGTCAGGCTCCTGTGATATATGAAGAAGATCTTTTGTCGTTTTCGCATTGAGATACTAACCCTTGGCGATGCCACGTCAGACGGAACTGGGCCGGGGTTTCTAAAAAGCCCGTTCCAGGTCAAATTCAGCTGCTGCTTTTTGTTGATGTCAACTTCATAAACTTTTAAAAAATGAACATAGATGAAAGATTAGTTGGACCAAATTCATCACCACAACATATGAGAGCCTAGTTCAATGCCAAAGCTTGCGACTCGAGCAATATTTGAGGCACAATGAAGATTCAAAGAGGTAACAAACATTCATAACCAGCCAAATTTCTATTTCTGATATGAACAATCCATTTAGTGATGATTGATTAACGAGAATCAGACACATTTGGTCTTTATTTCAAAGAGATTTGACATCATACAGAACAAATCAGTGTACAGTAAAAATATAGAAAGCTTCAAGCCCAAGAACGACTCTATAAATAAAGCATACAAAGCATTTACGTATGACCATTGTTTTTCCTTTCCCGCGCACACTCTCGGCCTTGTCATTTCTCCTCAAGAGCTTCTGGTTTAGGAGATTCGTCTACTATAATGTAATGTTAAGCTAACAAGAGATTGGATCAAAACTCAGACTCTCTTCTCGCCAAAACCCGCCTGATGTAAATAAAACTTTATGTATCTAAGGATCTATCAAGACCTGATCTTTCTACGTCTAAGACGTTTCAAAAGACTGAACCGAAGCATCGAGTCAACATCGTACCCTGCAAGCTCCATTCTGTTTACAAGCTGAGAAGCAACCTCCATATTGTCTCTTGATTCCATTAGAGATCTTAAGAGGTTGTTGCAGACTCTAGACATCAGCTTGAACTTGTTATCTAGAGCGTACGAGAACACATCTATCGCTGCATCAAGCTGTTCTCTTTTGCAGAGCCCATGAATCAGTTTGACACAACTCGGAGGTGTGACAAGGATCTCCTTCTCCCTTAAAACCGAAAACACCATCAAGGCCTCCTGAAACCTACCGGATTGGCATAACCCAATCAGCCATATTGTGTAAGGTCCAAAACCTAACTCGTCTTTCTTGGTATCCACTTCAAGTATCCGTCTAAGAGCTCTCTCGGTTTCCCCATCCTTGAAATATTGTTCAATCTCATTAACTGCTTCGTCGTCTAGACGAGACATCTTCTTCAGGTACTTCATCCATAGACTAAAAGCAAACGCAATCTTTCTTCTCCGGAATGTCCACTTCATGAGCGATCTGTAAACCGCGGGACTGTGCCTGAAGTCATCTTTCGCGTAAAAGAGCTTAAAAGCTTCCTCTTCTCTGCCGACCCTATGAAGTCCGTTGATGAGAGTGTTGTAAGTGACGCTGTCAGGTGATAAACCTTTAAGCTGAAGCACCTTGAGCAGCTTGAGAGCACCGTCAATATCTCCTTCTCTGCAGAACCCGTTTATCAGAACATTGTACGTTTTGATGTCTGGAGAGCTATCGCTATCAGCAAGCTGCGCGAGATCCTTGTACGCCTTGAGAATCGAACCGGACTCCACCATGGTATTAACACTCTTGTTTCCACTGTGTGAAAGCCTGAGAAACAAGGAAGCAGGTCTCCCCACTTCCATCTTATGCAGCAACAACCTCGCTTCCTTGAGCTCACCGGACTTGCACAACCCATCGATCAAAGCATTAAACGTAGCAACCGAAGGAGAACAACCTCTCTTCTCAATCTCCTTGAAAATCTCTTCGGCGTCTCTAACTAGCCCGTTTCTGCACATACCACAAATGAGGATCGTGTCTGTGAACGCATCAGGGAAAGTCTCCGTTTCTGACATCTGGAGTCGGAGTGACCGAGCCTCTTCCAAAAGTCCCTGCTCACAGAGAGCCTTTATAACAGCATTGTAGCAGCGGGTATCTGGGTTAACGCCGTTACTAGGCATGCTGCTTAACAGCTTCAATGCATCCTCAATCTTCCCGGCTTTGGATAGCCCTGTAATCAATACCGAGTACAAAACAGCGTCAGGCTTGATATTCTTCTTCAGCATCACTGCATACAACTCAAATGCCTCATTGAATCTCCCAGCTTTGAATAGTCCATCGATTAAACTGCTGTAACCTCGGAGACCAAGCACAAAACCATCCTTCTCAAACAGCCGCAGCAGCTCAAACGCCTCAACCATCCGACCTAATTTACAAAACCCATCAAGCAACGCATTGTGTGCAACGGAATCAGGCGTGTGGCCGTCCGATTTCATCTCGTGGAATAGCTTCAGTGCATCTTCAGCGTTTCCCCTTTGGCACAAGCCTGAAATGAGAATCGTATACGTAACGCTGTTTGGAGAAATCCCTCTGCTAGTCATATCGTCGAACATCTTCTGTGCATCGCCCATCCTCCCTTTCTTGTACAATCCATCCATCAAAGTACAAAATGTGTATTGATTTGGGATACAATTACACTTGAGCATCTCGTTGTACACAGCAAAGGCCAGCATGAAGAAGATCTCTTCTCGCATCATGACTCGCAATATCACGTTGTACGTGAACACATCGGGTCTGCAATCGAACTCCTTCATCCTTCCAAACGATTCAACCGCCTTCTCCGCCATACCCATCTTAGCATAAGCCGATAAGAGAACGCAGAAGCAATAAGAATCGACAGAGACGCCTCCGGATTTGAGCTCCTCCAATGTCTGCCAGTACAGATCGCACCCATTCTCTTCGGAGAGCATGTCGAGGACCAATCCGAAAGACTCTCGGCTCCTGAGACGCGCTCTTCTCGATGCCCATATGAAGAAACGGAATCCCAATTGCCGATTGACCTGATCTTTGATTACCGATGTGATGATTTTCCGCGAGAGAAATGGAACAAGCGGCTCCAGAGCAGGCTCTATCGGTTTCTTCTTAGCTAGGATGCTGATGACCTCGCCGGAGATGTTGAATTCCGTGTTACCGGAGGAGTACGGACGAGGCATCCATGACGGCTTTGAGTAGAACTGAATGACTGATCGAATGAACATCTGGGGTTTCATACTAAATGCGAAGCGGATGAGAGATCAAATCGCATTGCTCGAGAGTTCATAGATGCAGAAAATCAGTGTGGGGTTTGAACAAGGGATTCGAAGACTAAGAAATGAAGAACACCAATTGAGATAAGAGAATAGGCGGCAATCCAAAACTGCGCCCACCTTCACTTTGATTGGTCGCAGAGAATAGACGCGAAAGAGTTTGAGTTTTCGGTTATCTGAAGAGGTTTCAAATCCTTCTCCGATTGAAGATGGGAGAGACCGAGAGAGATTCCGTCTAAGGAGGAAGACGGCTTTTCTTTTGATCGTCAAGGGTTTTCTGCCACCGGAGCAAACTCTGGATCGATTTCAGCCGGTTTATGTGAGAACCGGAATCGAGGACGAGAATCAGTGTAACGACCCGGGTTTTGGTACATAAATCTCCAAATTACAGTGATAATGCCGATTTGTTTTTCTATCTTTTGAAAATTATACAAAACGAGATAGACAAACAATCATAATTTTAATTTGCACACCCAATACTTACTTACTTAGGAGTTAGGACCAAATTAACAGGCATATATAATCAGGATTTATAATTTTGGTCGGATAATCCAATTCCCGTTAATAAAGAAAATAATTTTATGTTTGTATTAGTAACGAAAATGTTAATTGGTCTGATTGATGGAGTTTACATCATATGACGTCACTCCTCCAAAAATAGGTGTATACCGTTTTGCGCAGAGAGCACACGGTATTCTTTAGTAAAAGGCGAAAGAATAGTTCGCTTTGTGCTCACTGCACGGTTCCATGAATTAAAGCGAAGAGGTGCATGCGCTTTTATACACAAATCCTTTTCCGTCTAGTTTAACTTGTATTCGATGTGGGACAAATTAACTGATGTTTCACAGGGACGGGAAAATCCTCACTCACTGGGCCGCTGTAATTTTCATTCTTTTCTCGTTGTAAATTTTTTCGGTTTCCATTTCACTTCTTTTGGTGAGTGTTAAAACTGGTTTCTTCTACAATTTTACTTTCACATGCTGTACAACACAAAAAAAATATACTTTTTATTTTCTTTTCAAAATTGAACAATTGTAGCCAAGAGATGATGAGTCATCGAGAATATATCAATGAACGAGCTAAAAAACCAACTGATAAATGGTTGAAATTTGTGAACTCAGAGTTACATCTCTTATTATTAAAAAACGGCCCCCAAACTAAAAACTCAAAAAAAGGAGCCGCAGAAGGACAGAAATCTCAAGTTGACAAATTATGTTTTTGCTCGTCTGGTCATAGGAAAACCAGACGTCCTGTTATACAGATAATGACACAAGAGAGACGAAACTGGATGATTCTTAAGCGTCATCTAGAGCGAGGACTCCTGGAAGTGGCTTCCCCTCGAGAAGCTCCAAACTTGCACCGCCTCCTGTAGAGATGTGGCTCATCTTGTCAGCCAAACCGACCTTCTCGACGGCAGCCACAGAGTCACCTCCTCCAATGATTGTGGTCACTCCCTTTCCGCTCAGTTCTGCAAGCTGCTTTGCTACGGCCTGATAGTGAAACAAGACAAGAGAATGGGTTAAGTCAATAAACATGGAGTTTGATGAAAAAGGGTAATAGTGTTAGTTGCTCGTACCTCAGTTCCAGCTGCAAACTTATCGAATTCAAAAACACCCATGGGACCGTTCCAGATGACGGTTTTGGTTGTGTCTAGAGCTTCGCTGAACGTCTTGATAGAGTCTGGACCAATATCCAAACCCATCCACCCATCTGGGATGGCCGATGCTGCCACTATCTGCAAGATTTCATTAAATATGTGTCACCAAAACAATACTTTTTTTTCATTCAAGATCCAATGAGTCACAACTCAGAAGCAATGAAAGCTGAAGGTTTACCTTGCTGTTAGCATCGGGAGAGAACTTGTCAGCAATAACCACATCGGTTGGGAGCAACAGAGAGACACCTTTGGCCTTTGCCTTCTCCATGAGTGACTTGGCCAAGTCAAGCTTGTCCTCTTCCACTAGGGAAGATCCGACTGAGAGTCCTTGTGCCTTGTAGAAAGTGAAAATCATACCTCCACCGAGCAAGAGGATGTCAACAGAGTTCAAGAGGGACTCAATGACACCAATCTTTGTTGAAACCTTTGAGCCTCCAACAATGGCGGCAAAAGGCTTCTTGGGGTTTGCAACAGCTCCGACAAGGTAATCGAGTTCCTAAACACGATTATCAAGTAATACTCTGATCAGTAACAAAAATCGTGTAAACAATGCTAATAATAGATACCAGAACAACTAAGCACCTTCTGCATGAGGAAACCAGCGACAGAGGGCTTCAAAAACTTGGCAACTCCCTCAGTTGAAGCATGAGCTCTATGAGCAGTTCCGAAAGCATCGTTAACATAGACATCCGCAAGTGCAGCAAGCTTCTTTGCGAATTCAGGGTCGTTCTTCTCTTCTTCCTTGTAGAACCTCACGTTCTCCAACAAAAGCACACCACCTTCAGGTAGTCCTGCAACCAGTTTCTGGACTTCCTCACCAATAGAGTCATCGGCCATAACAACCTATTAAAACAATAGAGCAAATCGCAAACAGTGTGAGCGCAGAGTATGAAGGCTGCTCTTCATAAAACTTGAACGCATAGGGGAAGATGATATACAAACCTCAACACCAAGAAGCTCAGACAATCTTGGCACAAGTGGCTTTAAGCTGAATTTAGGGGTAACACCTTTGGGACGACCCTGAAACATGAAATTGGGATCAGAAACATCCAAAATAATTCCTAAAAGTTGAAATCAGAGATATCTAATAGTTCCTAGTCACTGGCGAAATTCATGAACTTAACGACCTAGCATCATCATCATCCTAGATTGCAAGGAGGCCTACTTAGACAAATGGTCGATAGAGAGTAAATTATCATATGAGAAAGCGAAGATATGTGCATATGAAGCCGATCAGATGATAAAACCGAGATGACATACCAAGTGGCTGCAGAGAACAACCCTAGATCCATTTTCCATCAAGTACTTGATGGTGGGAACAGCGGCACGGATCCTGGTGTCATCGGTGATGTTAGAGTTATCGTCCAAAGGAACGTTGAGATCAACCCTCACGAACACGCTCTTTCCCTTCAGATCCGCTTCCTTCAACGTTCCAACGCTTCTCTTAGTCGCCATAGTAGATACTTTGTCGAGCAATCGAAAAAAACACTGCAAACAAAAAAGTTGAGTCTCGCGAGATCAGATTGACGGAGAAATCAAGCAAAATCGGGGAACAGATCTAGATAATCCGGCGGAAAACCAAATCGAAAACCAATTGGAAATCGATTAGGAGAATCTGAAGGAACTAATTAGAGAATATACTCACATGAGTGGCTGTGAAGAGAGACGATCGAAGCTACAGAGAAATGAAGTGGTGATGTATAAAAGAGTTGGTGGATCTTTCGAGAAGACGAGAGAAGTATATATAAAAGCAGCTTGGAGAACACCCAAAGAAACTTACTATAATTACGATATTGCCATTATTTCTCTCCTTGGGTTCCACGGCCTTAACGTATCATGAAGGGTTCATTTTCCAGATATTGGGCCCTAGAGATATTAATGGGCCTAGCCCAACTTAACGTCAGTTTGAATTTAGCGTCATCATCTTTCTCCTCTCGAGCTAATCACGAGAACTAAAAATTAAACAACTCCAAACGACGACGGATCAGTGTAGATAAACCTCCTTACCGGAGAAAAGCGTATGTCTTGCCGGAGAGACGAGTAAGCTGAATGATTCGTTCTCACTGTTTAACTTCCTTAGTTTCCGCCGAGAGAGCTCTCCGGGAAATTCTCTAAATGTGCCTGTTTATGTTTAATTGAACTTTAAATTTCTCCTGATTTCGTCCATGGAGATTGCAATTTCGTATAAGCCGAATCCGCTTATCTCCTCATCGACTCAATTGCTTAGAAGACCTCAAAGTTCTGGTCTTGTTCGGTTTCCCGCCAAGTATGGACTGAGAGGAGGTTCCCGGAAAAAACCGGTTTTTCGAGTCTATGCGTCTGAGAGTACTAGTGGGTCGTCGTCTAATAACGACGGTGGGTTTTCGTGGGTGAGATTGACACAGTCTCTTCGCATTGGCGTGGAGCGGATTGGGGAGAAGATTGGAGAGACTGTGAAGAAGGAAACTGGGTTTGACTCGGTAGAAGCAAATGCGACAGTGAACGAGTTTGTGGGCCGAGTTAAGGATATTGTGCAGAAGGGCCAGCACGAGTTGACTCGGTTTAAGTCTGAGACAGTGCCTTCGTTTATCGATTGGAACAAGTGGGAGCACTGGAAGGTAACAACTTTAGATTTTTTTTTAATCTTTGGCATTGAAGTATTTGCTAGAGAGTGATTCTGTTTGTGTTCAGAAACATTTGAGGAACAAACGGCTGTATATGTGGTGCATTTAGCTAGTTTTGCACCATTTTTTAGTACTTAGCTGCAGTTTACTTAATGAGAGAAGATGCTTTGTATCAGGACATCAGGAATTGGGACGGTAGACGAGTTGCTGCATTGGTAATATATGCTTTTGCGCTGTTATTTTCTGGTCAAAGAGTTTATGTTGCCATTCAAGCTCCTCGGATAGAAAGAGAAAGAAGAGAGTTAACAGAGTCATTTATGGAGGCTTTGATCCCGGAGCCATCTCCTAGCAATATAGATAAGTAAGTGCTTCCTAATCCTCAGTTTCCAAATGTAATTTATCTGCTGCGGCATGGTAAAAGCATCTTGTGTTTAGTATGTTCTGATTTTGTTAAGCGTATCAGGTTTAAGAAGAATATCTGGAGGAAGACAACGCCTAAAGGCTTGAAACTGAAAAGGTTCATTGAAGCGCCTGATGGAACACTTGTCCACGATAGTACTTATGTTGGAGAAAATGCATGGGATGAGGATCTAGAGACAACAGAGGGATCTCTGAAACAAATAATTGATAGAAATGCTAGGATTCAGACTGAGGCAAAGAAGAAACTAAGCCAAGATCTGGGTGTCTCTGGT